CGCATACCAGGGCGGCTATTGTAAATTGCAGGTTAGAGGGGGTTGGGCCTACAAAGTGACACCTCATCCCCCACAGTTTTGTTGGTTTTGTTTTGTTCAGGTTGACTTGGAGCACGCTTAATTACAGAACTTTATCTCCCTTTTTTATTTTATTTATTTTTTTGGTACTGGGGATTGAACTCATGACCTTGTGCTTGCCAGTCAGGTGCTTATGCCACTGAGCTAAATGCCCAGCTCCCTACCTTTCTCCCTGCCTTTCTTTCTTCTTCTTTTCTTCCAGTCTTCCTTTCATTTCCTTTTTCTTTCTTTTTTTTTTTTTTTTTTTTTTTTTTTTTGTCTTTTTCCTTTTTATCGGTACCGGGGATCAAACTCACGACTGCCTGCTTGCAAGGCAGGTGCTTATGCCGCTGAGCTAAACCTCCAGCCCCTCCTTTTTTTCCTGTGTTGAAGATTGAAGTCACTTTGCTTTGACTTTTTAAGGCTTTCCCTTGTTATAATTATTAAATGTACCTATTTCCCCTCTAATTACTTGCTTCCGAAGACCAAGGACTGTTTTTCTTCTCTTTGAAGCAAGGGTGCTTAATTTGCACATCGCAATATTTGTCAAATTATGCTAGGGCTTAAGTTTATCCTGCTGTTTTTGCTACTGGTTACAAACTCCGAATTCTATACAGTCAGACTAAAGTTATTACTGTGTTTGGCACAACAAACAATAAGATTTTTTTTTTAAAATTATTGTTAAATTCAATAAAAATTCCAGGATTAAAAAAAATTACAGAATTTCCTATCATTCCTTTTCTTTAAATTTTTTTTTGTCTTTTTCCTTTTTATCGGTACCAGGGATCGAACTCACGACTGCCAACTTGCAAGGCAAGCGCTTATGCCGCTGAGCTAAATCCCCAGCCCCCTATCATTCCTTTTCTGAGCATTCATACAACCAACACTCTTTGCCTTCCACTTCTTTTTGCTCCAAAACTTTTTGCTCCATTCTTTTTATTTTTTTCCCCTAGGGTTTCAGTACTGAGGGTTGGGACCTTCACACTGAGCTACATTGCTGCTCTTTCTTTCTTTTTTTCTTTTCTTAAACTTTTATTTTTGAAACAGTGTCTTACTAAATTGCTGAGTGGGCTCAGATTTCTGATCCTCCTCCCTCAGCCTCTGACTCTCAAGATTCCAGCATGTATCACCACACCAAGCTCCTTTCTCAGTTCTTTCATCTCATCTGCTTCCACCTTTCATACAAAATGAGCTCCTCCTGAGCGCCCTCAGGCTCCGTAAAACCATTTTTTTTTTTTTTTTAAATCTGTACCGGGATCAAATTTATGACCACCTGCTTGCAACGCAGGTGCTTATGCCGCTGAGCTAAATCTCCAGCCATAAAACCATTTTTTTTCGAGGATGGATTCACAAATTGTCCCCTCTTTCTTCCAAGCCTTCAACTTACAGGAGCCCAATTGCAGTTTCCCTTCTGAGACTTGACTACTTACCATCCCTGATAGAGGTCATTCATTCAGTCAGAAGACTTGAATTTCCAATTCATTTTAACTTTGAAATAATTAATGCCCTACTTCTACATTTTGTTACATAGGTCCAATTAATCAATGAATTTTTTTAATGTTATTTTTATTTTTATTTATTTTTGTCTTTTTGAGACAGGTTCTCGCTATGCAGTTCAGGCTGGCCTTGAGCTCACTTTGTAGTCCAGGCTGGTCTCCAACTTGCAAGGATCCTCCTGCCTGTCTCCCGAGTGCTGGGATTACAGGCATGAGCCACCACGCCCGGCGTTATTTTTATTTTTAGTTTAGATTAGTTTTGTTTTTTACTTGTTTTGGTGATTTTGAGACAGGGTCTCACTATGCAGTTTAGGTTGGCCTTGAACTCACTATGTGGCCCAGGCTGCCCTTGAATTCAGGTGATCCTCCCGCCTCAGTCTCCCGAGTGCCAGGATTATAGGCATATGCTACCAGCTGTGAGCACTGGGAATTTTTTTTTTTTTTGTCTTTTTTGTTTTTATCGGTACCAGGGATCGAACTCAGCACCGCATACTTGCTAGGTAGGCACTTATGCCATTGAGCTAAATCCCCATCCCCTGATTAATGTTTCAAAAGGACTGAAAAGACAAGGGATAGGAGGGAGGGAGAAATCAAAGCACCAGGACTGCTAGAATACTTATGTCATTTACAGGTAAAAGGAAAGAGTAGGAAGTGCCTGCCTTGCAAGCACATGGTCGTGAGATCGATCCCTGGTACCAAAAAACAAAGAGTAGGAAAAGGTTAAGTTGGAGAGAGAAATCAAAATTTCTCTGTGCATGAGAGTTGGAGATATCTAGCAACCATCAAATGGAGCTGTTTAAAGACAGGAAGTTGCACAGAACTGAAGGTCAAGACTGGACAAATAAATGTGAAAACAACAGACAATTTGTATGCAGTATTTATGGAGCAAGTGACTGTATGCTACCATCCATGGAACACAATGTTGACCAAAGCAGGAGGCATTTTTACCGACAGGATTTCCTGGCCGACACAGTTAGAGCACAACTGAGGTCCCAGCACTCTGACTGGCTGAGGCAGGAGGATCAGAAATTCCAGCCTACCCTGGGCAGTTTAGCAGTTTAGCAAGGCCCTGTCTCAAAATAAAAAAAACATAAATAGCTGGGAATGCAAAGGTCCTAGGTGTAATCCCCAGTATTACCGGAAAAAAAAAGATAGAATTTCCAGATTATCAAGCACAGAGTAGAATATGATTATTCCAGAGCTCCCACATTTACATATACATCTAGCCATTTGCAGAGGCTAATTTAACTCTCCCAGTCCCATTTCTAGCCAGAATCTGATTGGCTCTGTTTGAGTCAGTTGTCTGTCCCTGTTCTTATCACAGTGGCTATGAGACCTGAATCACAGAGTATGAACCGGTCTCTTGGGAGTCAGTCCTTATACACTCAGGAGCAAGGGGATCACATACGGGTGGAAGCTGGGTCCACATCTCATGAAGGTGAAGACTGAAGTTGAAAACAAAGGAGGTAGACAGGAGAAACCTTTATTGAAGAGAAAGAAATAGCTCCCAATAGTCGACAGGAGACCCGAAAGTGGGTTGCCAAGGGGACTCACTGTAGAGGACTTTTTACACCAAAAAACGACCAAGGCTCAAACCAGTCTGAGTCTAAGTTCAGCCTATGGGACTAAAACAAGCTTACTTAAATTAGATATGGGTCTGTAAGGAGATGACACTCACAGCACTGCAAGCATCCACAGATAGTTCTGGGCTGCTGTCCTATTCAAGTAGTTCATTAAAAGAACAAATTTGTGCTGGGGATTTAGCTCAGCGGCATAAGTGCCTGCCTTGCAAGCAGGCAGTTGCGAGTTCGATCCCTGGTACCGATAAAAAAAAAAAACGAAAAAGGCAAAAAAAAAAAAGGAAGCTGAAAAGAACAAATTTGAGAAGGGAAAAAAATTTTCCACATTGAAAAAAAATTTTCCACATAGGTAGGAGCAGGAGCTGTTATAGTGGCCCTCTGCCACCTTGCTTATCACCTGACTTGTTACACACTGGACTTACTAACTCTGCATCTCAGGCTCCTGCTCATATGGCCAAGCCTGGTCTTCCTAATTATCTAGGGCCTGGTGCCCTTCTAGCGGCCTGCTATCTCCTGCCTAACTTTCTGTAATAATTAGAGGCTCATTTCTCAGAGAAATGGCCATTGGCTTCCAGGCTGAGCACTTAAAAACTGAACCAAATTTGTGTGCATCAATTTTATAATTGGACCAAAGTTATTCTCTGTCCCTCTGTCTCTCTGTCTCTGTCTCTCTATCTCTTTATTATACTGGAGATTGAGCCCATGACCTCTCATATACAAGCAAATATTCTACCTCTGAGCTACATCCCTGCCCAACACTTAATTGATCTAGAATTATATCTATTAATCATTTGGACAGATTTTATTTTATTTTATTTATAGTACCGGAGATTGAACTCATGACTTTGCACTTGCCACCGAGGCACTTATACCACTGAGATAAATCCTCGACCCTCAGACTTTATTTATTTTATTTATTTATTTTTGTCTTTTTCGTTTTTATCGGTATCAGGGATCGAACTCACGACTGCCTGCTTGCAAGGCAGGTGCTTATGCCTCTGAGCTAAATCCCCAACCCCCCAGACTTTATTTTTTAATTGCATCTTTTGCAGAACTGAGGATTGAATCCAGAGCCCTCACCCTGAGCTATATTCCCACCTTTATTTTTTATTTGAGGAAGGCACTCATTAAGTCACTAAATTGATCAGTCTGGACTTGAGCTTTTAACCCTCCTGCCTCAGCTCCTAGAGTAATGGGATTACAGGTGTGAGCACTACGCCCACTGATTTTTACTTTGAATAAATAATATCATTAATACTCAATGCATAGTCTTTTTTTTTTTTTTTTTTTTTTGGCTTTTTGAGACAGAATCTCACTATGCAGTTCAGGCTGGCCTTGAGCTCATTTTGCAACCCAGGCTGGTCTCCAACTTACAAGAATCCTCCTGCCTCAGACTTCCAAGTGTTGAGATTAAAGGTGTGTACCACCATGCATGGTTTGTTTTGTTTATTGAAACAGGGTGTCACTATGTATTTCAGACTGAGCCCTAACTCATTATATTGCCCAGGTTCACCTCACACTCTTGACGATGGGCCTGGGGATTTAGCTCAGCAGCACAAGCGCTTGCCTGGCAGGCACAAGGTTGTGAGTTCAATCCCTGGTACAAATAAAACAAAACAAAACCCAAAAAACAAACAAAAAAAAACTTGACGATCGTGCTACATCAGCCTCCTAAGTACTGGAATTACAGTCTTGCTCCATGCTCAGCTATTGTAGTCTTACCCTTAAGAGTTGTCCACGAATATATAAAACATCATGTACCATTCAAAAGTGCTAAGAAACTCCTACAATTTAAACACAGCCTGCAGAAGCTGTCCTGAAGTTACATCTAATTGATTTAACTTTTCCTTTATTTTGTGTTCTCTAGGAGCCCTTACAATATAAGAATTAGGACAATGTCACAACTGCTGGACCATACATCAGATGACCTGCCAGTTAGAGACACGGACTCAGTATCTCAGTGGAAAGGTAAATCCATTTTGCAAAGGGGTGGGGACCAGGAGATGGGGTGGGGGATGATGGGAAGTAAAAAAGAAGCGACATGTGTTCTGTCCTTGGCCAACTCCCTACAATAACTGTAATCACTGCAAACATGTACTGATAAAATAAAAGATGAAAAAAGAAAAATAAATCGAGTCCCTGGAGGCCTTTGAGAATTAAAGAACCTGCCAGTGTGGAACGCCTTGCTGGCTTCATAGTGACTGCCTTGCTTGGAGCTTTTTTCTTCAATCTTTTAAACATTTTATTCATAAACTCTCTTTTGCAGGGAGTGTGCTAGGACTGAACCCCGGGCTGTGCACTAAGCTTAGTTCCCAGCCTTCTTATATCATTTTACATTTTGAGACAGGGTCTCACCAGTTCACTAAATTGCCCAGGCTAGGCTCAAACTTTCAATCCTCCTGCCTCAGCCTCCCCAAGTGCTGGGATTACAGGTATGCACCACTACAGCCAGCTCTAAATTCTTCTTCTTTTTTTTTTTTAATGCCAGGGATTGAACTTACAACCTTGTGCTTGCCAGGTAGGCGTTTATGATCAGAGCTAAATCCCCAACCCCTCTAAATTCTTATAATAAAAGTTCTGTCATGCAAATTTAGGAGGTGAGGCCAACTATTATGACCTTAGATGCTACCAAAAAAAAAAAAAAAGCAAGAACAAACTAGGTGGCAGTTTAAGAGAAAAGGCCTTAGCCTCACTAGAGCTGCTGCACACAGGCCTCCAGATAGTTTTGTAACTTTGTTCCTACTCTCCCACCCTTCTATCCTAATCATAGCTGCTGATGATTCTGTTTTCACTTCATAATTTTTTAAAAGCATAGGACACTTTATGCACTGCTTGGAAAAAAGCTAGGTGTTATATAATTACAGTTCAAGACACAACTCTACTTCTGCATATAAAGTTTACTAAAATTCTTGCATACAAGTACTGGGAGACATTTATCAGAATATTCACAGCATTTTATTCAAAAGAATAAAAACTAGGACCTGGCACAGTGGGTGTATGCTTGTGATGCCAGCTACTAAGGAGGTTGAGTGGTAACATTTGGAGTTTGAGGTCCTGAGCTATATAGTGAGAACCTGTCTCAAAAACAAAACAATTCTAGCATTCTGGGAGGCTGAGGCAGGAGGATTGCAAGTTTAAGGCCAGCCTTGGCACTTCAGTGAAACCTTGTCAGTTGACAAGGATTGGAGGAACTGGAACCATCCTACACTGCTAGTAGGAGTAGAAAATGGTAAACTCACTTTATAAAACAAGTTAGTGGTGCTTAAAAAGTTGAATATATACTTGCTCATGATTCAACTACTTTACCCAAAAGACATGAAAACATACATCTATGCACAGAACTTGTACAGATGTTTATACCAGCTCTGTTTGTGTTAGCCCCAAACTGGAGACAACCCGATGTCCAGCAACAATGAATGGATAACTTATGGTATAGTTATACCAAGGAAGATGATTCAGAAATTAATAGGAACTATCAATACATGAAATATCACGGGTGATCCCAGTGCTCTGAGGCTGAGTCAGAAGGATGGCATGCTGGAGTCTAGTTTAGACAATTTAATAATTGACCAAGACCCTGTTATAAATTAAAAAGAGTTGGGCATGGTGGTACATACTGTAATCCTGAGGCAGGTGAATCACTGCAAGTTCGAGGTCAGCCTGAACTGCATAGTGAGACCTTGTCTCAAAAAAGACCAAAAAACAAAACAGACAAACAAAAAGACTGGGAATGTAATGTAGCTCAGTGCAAAGCTCTGGGTCAGTCTCCACTATGGCAAAAGAAGACAGAGCAAAACAAAAAACAATTTTTTAAAAAAAGAACACAGTGGTAAGATAATTAAATTGAGTAAAAAGAGATCACACCAACTTGAGCATGGTAAGGACCACCTATAATCCTAGCATCCTGGGGGTTTGAAGGAGAAGGATTGAAAGTTCTAGAGCCCCCCCCCAAAAAAAAAGGAAAGAAAAAGAAAGTTCTAGGCTAACCTGTTTATTGGTACCAGGGATCGAACTCACGACAGCCTGCTTGCAAGGCAGGCGCTTATGCCACTGAGCTAAATCTCCACCCCCTCTAGGCTAACCTGGATGACCTGTCTCAAAATAAAAATAAAAAGGTACTTGGTGAGATAGCACATGCCTGTAACCCTAGCACTTAGGAGGCTGAGGCAGGAGAATCACCATGAGTTCAAAGATGGCCTGAACTACACAGTGAGATCTTGCCTAAAAAAAAAGAAAAGACAGGCAAAGAGAAAAAGGGTTGTAGCTCAGGGATAGAGCATCATGGGTTCAATCCCCAGGAGAGAGGCAGATGGAGGGTCACAACAGAAAAGGACACTGTTACATAATGGATAACTTGATATAGGGGGTGTGATTTAAAAAATACAGTGCATGTTTACACATTTTAAATTTTTATTACGGTGAAAAGCACAACTACCCTCAAAATACTCCTCCAGGTTTGAGCACATTCATCCCAGTGTCCTTGCCATTTTCTGAAGCAGCTCTCAAAGTCCTCTTTTGTGAGTGTCCTTCCATGGCTGCAGGCAGCTTCTAGCTCTCTGTCAAGGTCAAAATGATCATGAAAGGTAAGTGATTCGGACTGATTCACGACATCAAGGCAGCCACCACAGCCCAACCTGAGACAACACTGGTGACAGAGAACTTCCAAAACTGCAACCCCAGCAGAATCTCAGCAGTAAGCAGCAAAAGTGATCCGAAAAGAGCGTCCGAAGCCAGGAGAGTAGCCTGACAGGGACTAAGGAAATGTGTCTTTTACTATAATAATTTTGTTTTTATTTTTCTTGAGACAAGGTCTTGTTGTGTAGTTCAGGCTGGCCTCGAACTTGGAGGAACCTCCTGCCTCAGCCTCCCAACTGCTGGGATTACAAGCATGTTGCCACTATGCCTGGCTGTAATAATTTTTTAAAAAATTAAAGTCACGGAAGCTGGGGATTTAGCTCAGCGGCATAAGTGCCTGCCTTGCAAGCAGGCAGTCGTGAGTTTGATCCCTGGTACTGATAAAAACGAAAAAGACAAAAAAAATTAAATTTTTGTGGTCATAAAGTATATTTTGTGGTCATATAGTATATACAGAATTCTGTTAAAAAGTCTATGAAAGTGAAAAGTAATCCATAATGATCTGAAATGTATCAGTTGGTATGTCTGGAAACAAAACTGGGGATTGAATTTGGTGTGGAGAGAAAAAGAATGGATCACAAAAGAGCACAAGGAGATGTGGGTGTAAGGATATGTTCTTAATTGTGATGATAATTTCACAGGTGTAGACGTATGTGAAAGATAATCAAAATTTCACTTGAATTATGTGCAGTGTGTATACTGCAAGCCATTTTTACCCCCAACACTTGTTGTAGTTTCCAGATGTCAGAGTAGTGACAGAGATGGCAGTGGTGGCCACGCTGGTTATGGTGCAGATGTTGTAGCCCTTTTTTCTCGAGGGCTAGGCTCCTTGGTGCCCTGGGCTTTCAAACAACTGCTAACTGAGCGGGCCTGGGGAACACTCAGAACACAGAGGTGCACCCCAGTTTCCTCAGCTAGGACCAAGCCGCAGCTCCTCCCAGCAAGCAGCTTGGGGACATTTCCTCCAGACTACCAGTGAGACAGCTCCTGATGATGAAAAATCATGTTTCTGGCTTTGCTCCTAGGGTCTTGAAGACAGTCATTGGCACAATCATTGTCCAGATCCAAATTATATAAAATGGGAAGAAAAGAAAGTCGAAGTAGGAAAGAGTCTAGCTCACAATACTTTCTTAGGAGACTTGGATTCACAAGGGAAAGCTGAGTCATGCCTCATAACAAAAGGACATGGGTAGGAGGTCGCCAGAGGTCTGCTAGCCATCACTGCATACATCTCTGATCTCAACCTGGATTCATGCTCTCAGGACAGGATGTAATGAGATGCATGTAACCAGATATAGTGGAGCATGCCTATAATCCTGGGGCTCAGGAGGCTGAGGAAGGAGGATCGCCAACATTTTTTTTCTTTCTTTCCTTCTTTCTTTCTTTTTTTTTTTTTTTTTTGGTACCAGGAGTCAAAGTCAGGACCTTATGCTTGTGCTGTTGAGCTATATCCCTGGCCCAGATTATCAACATTTCAAGCCAGCCTGAACTAAATATTGTCTCATAAAAACAAAAACCAAAAATACTGCAAGTAAAAATATTTTCCAATCATCCTTTCCTGTGTCTTTAGGTAAGAATATAAAAGCCCAACCAGTCCTGAGCAGGATGGACCGAGAGGAACTGGAGGACAATCTCTTTCGACTACGTGAAGAGCACATGTTGGTGAAAGATCTGTTTTGGAAGCAACAGGAGGAGATTAAAAGGTATTCAATGTTCTCCTAATTTTTGAAACCTAATAGGTATGGTAGTGCACACACACCTCTAACCCCCAGTCGGGGAGGCTGAGGTAGGAGAATTGCAAGTTCGAGCCCAACCTGAGCAATTTAGAAACTTAGTGAGACTCTGTCTCAAAATAAAAATAAAAAGGCCTGTAGATGTAGCTTAGTATAAAGCCTCTTGTACTGAAAACAAAAATTGAAAGCTGTATCTACATCAGGCATACACCACACTAAACAAAAAGGAATACATACTATTTAGATAGCAATGCCCAAAACTGATTCAGTGTCAAGAATATTTGCTTATTTATTTATTTATTTATTTACTTATTTATTTATTTTTGCAACAGGGTCTCTTTAGGTAGCCCAGGCTGGCCTCAAATTTACCACAATCCTCCCGCCTCAGCCTCCCAAATGCTGGGAATTACAGGTGTGCAACACCACACCTAGCACGAATGTTTAATTTTTGAAGCAGTATTGCAAGGAAGCAGACAGGAAGAAAGTGGGTTGCACAGTGTCCTCTAAAGGCACATCTTCAGTGACCTGAGGACTTCCCATCACTTCCAATCATGTCACGCTGAACACTAAGCCTTTAATATGCAGACCCAAGCCTTAGCCAAGAATCATGCTTCTGGATGAATAACTAAAGAACACCTGAAAAAGCAAATAAAATCAAACCAACAACAAAAGTACTTGAGATTGTGAATATTAAACTAGATTCTATCTGTGCAGCTTTGAGCTATATTTCATGCCCTGATTTATCTGGATAAAATGTTTTATAATAGTAATGACTAACACCTACAGAGGCTACAGTGTGACATCCCTTCTCTAAGCACTTTATCTATATTAACTTAATTACTGTATCTTTATTTATTAGTAAGAAAACTGAGCACAGAAAGTTTAAATGACCACATCCATAAATGTCAGAACAAGCATACAGTGTATCTTGGTTGACTCAGGCCATCATAACCAATACCACAGACAGGGGCTTTTAAACAGCAGAAATGTATCTTCTGGTTGTAGAGTTGAGAATGGGCTCCAGCCGGACTGCAGCTGCATGCTGGTGAGGACCATCTTCCTGGATCACAGCCTGCCTCTTCTTAGCTCAGTACCCTCATGGAGAGGAAGCAAGGGTTGGGCATGATGCAGAGTCTTTCTCTTGTTGTAAGACCATGGTTATATCTGCTCAGAGTCCTTGCTAGTGACCTCGCTTAGCCCACTCACCTTCCACAGGCCGAGTCTCCCAATCCTGTCACAGTGGAGGTAAAGGGCTTCCGCACAGGGATTTTGGCAGGTGAAGTAAGCAACCCCTTCCATAGCAAATGAGAACAGAGAATGTTCTGACAATGGTGAAAAGCAACATATTAGGTCAAGTGATAACGGTGGATGGTCCACAATAGGCAGAGCTCAGTAGATATTACCAGAAGCTGTAAAGGAGCCACCCTTTATGAAGGGTGTATACACAGGACATATGCAAGGGTGTAGATAAGAGGGCGAAAGAAGTATTAAAATTTTCCTTATAATTATCACTTTTAAGAAGAAATAGGCAAGCTGGGCATGGTGGCTCACGCCTGTATTCCCAGCACTTCGGAGGCTGAGGTGGGAGGATCCTGCAATTTCGAGACCAGCCTGGGCTACAAAGTGAGCTCAAGGCCAGCCTGAACTGCATAGCGAGACCCTGTCTCAAAAAAGACAAAAGAAGAAGAAGAAGAAGAAGAAGAAGAAGAAGAAGAAGAAGAAGAAGAAGAAGAAGAAGAAGAAGAAGAAGAAACGGGCAGTTTGTCTTTTATAATGGTTATAGTTCCATACAGATACATACACATATGCAAAATTTTTAATTTTTTTGTGATTTTTCTTTTTTTAGACAGGTTCTTGCTCTGCAATCCAGGCTGGCCTTGAATTCGCTGTGTAGCCCAGGCTGCCCTCAAACTCTCATCCTCCTGCCTCAGCCTCCTAAGTGCTGGTATTACAGGCATGTGCCACTATACCTGGCGAACTATATAATTTTAAAGAATAATATTTCTTATCTAGCATGGTAACACCCACTTGTAATCCCAGTACCTGGTATAGTGGTACACACTTGTTTTTTTTGTTTGTTTGTTTTGTCTTTTTCCTTTTTATCGGTACCAGGGATTGAACTCACGACTGCCTGCTTGCAAGGCAGGCGCTTATGCCGCTGAGCTAAATCCCCAGCCCCGTGGTACACACTTGTAATCCCAGCAGTTGATAGACTGAGGCAGGAGGATGGCAGAGAGTTCCAGGGCAGCCTGGGCTACATAGTGAGTTCAAGGCCAGCCTGAAAAACAGTGAAACCCTGTCTCACAAAGAAAAAAAAAAAAAAAAAAAAACTTTTATGCAAATATATAGCTTTTACAGTGTGTGATCATTATAACAGAACGGACAAATGGGTACATGATGACGTGCCCTCGGTTCAAAGTTACTGTGTGACTGGGGACAGAAAATTAATTTTTAAAGTGTAAGTAATAGGCAACAATAGACACATTCAGATCCTAGATCAACCCGTGACTATTTGTCACCAAATTACTGAGGCGCTGTCAGAGAAGGAGAAGCCGCGTGTCCTGTTTTGCTGCAGGCTGAGGACGACCTTGATGCGCCTGAGACTGACGGCCGCGGGCGGGGACCTGCGGGCCCGGGCGGCCGCCGCTGCGCGGAAGTCGGAGCCCGCGGGGCGGCAGCGCCAGGCGGCAGGGCGGCCCCCCACGCAGCCGCGCGTCCCGGGGCAGCGGCGCCCCGAGAGGCCCAGGCTCCCGGCGCCAGCCCCGCTGCTTCCTTCGGCTCCAGGCCGCGCTCCGCCTCGGGGCCCGCCGGGACGCAGACGGCTGCACACCGCCGGCGCCAGGGTGCCCGAGCGACCCTCGCAGGGTGAGCCTGGGACCCACCGAGCCCGCGGGGAGGCGCACCTTGGCTTTTTGCTGTACCCCGCCCACTGCCCTGCTTTGTCCTTTTGTTCTCTCTGCGGTCTCCCACAAATCATGTTTTCTTACCTGGGGGTGTCAGGTTCAAAATTCTCCATTCAGGGGCGGGGATGTAGTGCAGTTGTGGAGCGCTTGCCTGGCATGCACGAGGCCCTGGGTCACACACACATACACACACACACACACACTCATCTCTACTTCAGCTCACCACTGAGCTCTGCTGAGGGTCAGTTTTGCAACGGTCTAGAAAAGAGTGGCAGAGAAGGCCTCGTGGTCCCGTCCACGAGGAAGAAGAGAATTCCTTAAAACCACGATGAACTCTGAGGTCCTCCCAGGAAAACTTGTGGACAAGCTGCATTACTTTCACGGGTTCAGGAGGTTCCAAAGCCCACTGCTCAGGTCTAGGCCTGGTGCTGTCTTTCCTCTGTGTGCCCAGTGGTAGAGTCTGAGGCCTGATTTCTCTGGCTGTGAAAACCAAACTGAATCTCCAAAGAAAAGACATCCCATTCCCATGGGCCTAAATCAAAGATGAGCATTCAGGAGAAGGAAATCACACCCAGCATTTTATTTACATATTCTAATTTTGTCAACAAGTACTCATTCTTTCTACTTTCAATGCCCTACTTCCTACAACCAAACATTTGCAGAAACACCTGAAAGTAGAAAGATGGAATGAGTTCAGAGTTCAGTTCTGTCTGACACTTTGGCATTGAGCTGACACTCTGCACTGGGCACTGGAGACTGAGGTTCCTCAGGTTAGACGCTTAGTCCGTGCTCCGGGCAAGCTTGCACTCTTCTTCTTTCCATTTATGCTCACGCACTTGTCACTGTGGTCTTGCAGTTCTCAAACTCGTAGTTGCAAGAGTACGGAGACCTTCTCCTCTGGGACCAGTAGTGACATCTGCGTTTTCCTAGGGCTTGAGGCTCCCCACATCCAGTTTGGCATCTGGTGTTCCACAGTGTATTGTGCCCACAGCTTGCATCTTCTGCCTAAATCTTTAGGTTCAAGGGATCGGCCGAGCTACACAGCCCCTGCCAGATTCAAGGAGCATGCGATACAGGAAAGACCCAGAGAAGAAGCAGCCTGTGAACCGGATGAACCGTGAGTTCTCATCACTTGTCCTAAGACTTTAGGTAAAAAGATATGCTACAGGAAATAAGTGGATGCTGGTGGTTCCCAGCTTCCCAGCACCATCAGAGAAGGTGAAAAGTAACTCTCTGCTGCATTTCAACCTTAGTGCTTACAATGGAAAACAAGGCTAGGGATTGAGCTCAGCGGCATAAGTGCCTGCCTTGCAAGCGTGTGGTTGTGAGTTGGATCCTGGTACCAAAAAATAAAATAAAATAAAAAGAAAGAAAGAAAAAAAGTAAAGTTTGACATTATAGGGGCCAGGGATTTAGCTTAGTGGTTCAAGCGCTTGCTTGGTAAGCACAAGGTTGTGAGTTCGATCCCCAGCACCAAAAAAAAAAAAAAAAGAAAGAAAGAAAGAAAACAACCTTCCTCTGTCCTCCAAGGAAAGGAAAATAAAAGTCATTTCCTCAAATGACAGAATTGACCTTTCCCAAGAGGAGAGGTGGGAGGGATAGAGAATGGGGGAAAAAGGGATCAAGTTATATCATGTACAGGTACAAATTCTTTATGATGAATGCGATTATTATGTATATTTAAAGTGTACCAATAAAATCTGATTAAAAATATTTCCTCTTCCCTTTGTATTTTTATCCCCTACACCACAATTCATTTATATATCCACTTGTCACTTGAAGGCTATATTTTGTAAGATTACCCTCTACACACAGAGACATTACTGACTCCTCTAGCTTATAAATGTGACGGTCCAATTCCAAGCCCCTGTGGGCACTTTCTAGTTCTTTTTGTGTCTCGTGTTTATAACATCACAGAGTACTTTCTTTCAGCAAAGTCACAATCATGGCTAAATCCCTTGGTCTGTGTGTGCCTACCAGTGCCCACCTTATGGCCAATGACAGTATGCAAATGGAAGAAGCACCAACGTCTCCTGAGAAAATGTTGTCCAACAATGAACAGTTTGGTCAGAAAAGCTCGCTGGAGTGTGCTCAGAAGGCTGCAGAGCTTCGGTAAGGCTGTGCAGTCCAAGCATCCAACCGCAATGAACTGAAAACCAGAGAAGGTTCCCGCCAGGCACTGTAGTGTTTGCAGTCCCAGCGTTCGGAAGGGTGAGGTGGGAGAATGGAGAATTGGAGGCCAGCCTGCGCTACCTGGAGAGACCCTGCCTCAAAGGGAGGGTCAAAGGAAGGGAGACAGAGAGAGAGAGACAGAGACAGCGACAGACAGAGACAGAGAGATTAGAAGATTGAGAGACTGAGATTGGCATGCTTACACTTGCCTTTCCTCCATTTTAGAGGAAAAGAGAATGTGTAGGACTAAATTTAATCTGAGAAGTAGACCTGGAATTGCTAGTAAGTTAAGAAATCAATTAACTAGAAACAGATTTGCTGCTTTACTGTATAGAAAGAAAATTATTTCATCTTGTCACCAGTTGGTAACCCTCTTTGTCTTTGAAAGGCTTTTTTTTTTTTTTTTTAAATAGAGTTGATTTTTTAGAGTAGTTTTAGTTTCACAGCAAAACTGAGCAGGAAACTGAGTTCCCAAAGAGCTCTGTTGCCACTCACGCCCTGCCTTCCTGCTAGGAGGTAACAGTACAACCCGCACTGCCCCTCAGTACAGTGCAGAGGCTGTGGTTTGCATCAGGTGTTACACCTTGTGTGAGTTTAAGCAGACGTGACATGCATTCACCATTACAGGATCATATAAAGTATACTTATTATTCTGAAAATCCTCTGTACTTTAGCACTTCACAGTTCCTTCTTTTAACCCCCGACAACCATTGATTTGTTGCTGTCTCCACGTTTTGCCTCTTTCTAGAATATAGTTGGATCTATAGGTATGCAGCCTTGAAGCTTAGCTTCTTTCACTTAATGATATGCTTCTGCGATCCCTGAAGATCTTTCCACAGTTTGATAGCTTTTCTTAAGGTGCTAAATAATATTCCACTGTCTGAATCAGTAACTGAACTATCCACTCGCCTATTGAGGGCTTTCTTAGAACTAGGTTTTTTTTTCCCCTGGGGGGCGGCAGTGCTGGGACTCAAACTGAGGACCTTGTGCTTGCCAGACAGGCACTGTGCTGCCGAGCTGTATCTCTGGCCCCAGAAGGGTTTCTTGGTTGCTTCCAAGTTTTGGCAATTGTGAGTCAAACTGCTACAGCATGGTGTGTAGGTTTTGGCATAGAGATAAGTTTTCAGCCTTTTAAAGCCACAGACACCTGGGCCAAGCCCATCAAAGATTGTCTTTTAATTAGTTGGGAGTAGAATCCAGGTAGTATAATTTTAAAGACTTAGTGGCCCACACCTGTAACCCCAGCCCTCGGGGCCAACCTGGACAACGTAGTGAGTTCAAGGCCAGCCTGAACTACAAAGTGAGATCCTGTATCAAAAAAAATTTTTTAAAGACTTCTCCAGGTGATGCTAATGAGCGACTACAACTGGGAATCACTGAGACAGAATACAGTGAGCACATGTCCTTCCTAGTATCTTTCAAATAATAAAGAAAACTCGCTCTCCTAGGTTCAGAAAGACTAATCTTCCTGTGAGTCTGTACTCAAATCCCCCACTCTTTTTTGGTTTGGATGTTTGTTTGTTTGTTTAAAGGAAACAGGCTTAAGCTTTGTGGGCTTTCCATCATTTATAAGAAACTGCACACTGTAATTTAAAAATATAGTTATGTGTTCCCTGTAATACAGAGTTTAAGGTTAGTGATCTATAAACGTCCAAATAGTGTGAGAAAAAGGAGCAAAGCGACTACTACCAGGTAGTACTCCTACTCCTGGTGCATTATGGGGGAGAATGGAAGGCAAGACACAAGAGAAAGATGTTCTTAGTGCAGTCAACAAGCGAATGTGACAAATTATAGATTTTATCATTTGACAGTTTGTTTCTTTTTTGTCTTTTTGAGACAGGGTTCTCTACGCAGTTCAGGCTGGTCTTGAGCTCACTTTGTAGTCCAGGCTGGTCACGAACTCCCAAGGATCCTCCTGCCTCATCTTCCTGAGTGCTGGGAGACAATTTGTTTCTTTCAAAAAAGAATATGTGAGCTGGGTGTGTTGGCTCATACTGAAAACACCAGCACTCAGGAGGATGAGGCTGGAAGATCATCATGAGTTTGAGGCCAGCCTGAGCTGCATAATGAATTCAAGGCTAGCCTGACCTACAGAGTGAGACCCTGTATCAAAAAAAGAGAGAGGAAAATGAGCTTCACTCAGTCCACTCTCAGTCATTTTAGTTGTGTTTTCCACAGCGCCTCCATTAAGGAGAACGTGGAGCTGATCCGACTGAAGAAGCTCTTGCACGAAAGGGACACGTCCCTGGCCGCCACGAAAGCACAGTTAACAGACGTTCAAGAGGTGAGTGCTGCACCAACACCATCTTTGGGGACAAAGCTAATTCGTTTGTGTTATTTTCTTCCTTTGCATAGGAAACAGCAGATTTGGAGAGACTGAGTCACTTGCCTAAGGTCACACAACTTGGGTGATCCTCAAACTGAGATTCGCAATTCAGAGCTGGTTCTTTTCTTAGCTGCTTCCCTGCATTTCTCCACCAGCCTGCTAAGGCAGAGGGAAGTGGAGTTAACTTGTGTCAGCATTAAGATCCTGTCAGCAGGCAGTCGTGAGTTCGATCCCTGGTACCGACAAAAAACGAAAAAGACAAAAAAAAAAAAAAAAAAAAAAAAAAAAATCTGTCTAGGGCTAGGGATTTAGCTCAGAGGCGTAAGCCCCTGCCTGGCAAGTGTGAGGTCGTGAGTTCAATTTCTGGTACCACAAAAAAAAAAAAAAAAAAAAATTCCGTCTAGTTGGGTTTGGTGGTGCACACTTGTAATCCCGCATGCAGGATTTGAGGCCAGAGGATCACTACACAGTTGAGGCCAGTCTGGGACGTTGTGAGTTCAAGGCCAGCCTGAACTATATAACAAGACCATGTCTCAAGAAAACACAAAAAACAGAAATTAATAATTAAAAAAATTAAGACTCCATCTGTATTGCTTCATGATATTAAAGGAGAAAAAAGAGAGGCTAGGGCGAAGCTCAGTAGTACAGAGCTTGTCTGTAGCTGAGGGCCCTGAGTTCTGCCCCTAGCACCACACACATAAAAAGATGGCCATTCTATGACTTGACCGATTCTGTTCTGTTATGTCTCATTTGATTTTATTCTCTTCCAAAAAAGCAATAAGAACCGTGGGAGCAATGAAACCCAAAATGTGTAATAGTCATTGTACAAAAGAGAGGAAAAGAAAGTGCTCTAAACTATATAACTGCATGTATATTTAAGTGTATAAGATAGAAAATGATATCACAGAGTTTTATTGGATCATTGAACAGAACTGTTTGCAGTATCATTGGTGGAATGTCCACTCTACAAGCTTTAATTTTGTGACTTGAACAATTATTTCTAAGATGGCAATATGTAATCCATTAACTAGTGATTTCCTACTGTTCATTTTTTTCTTCTGTAAATCTGTATAACTTGTACCCTTTCACTGTTTTTTTTTCTTTTCTCCTTAAATAAAAAAAAAGTCAAAAAAAAAAAAAAGATGGCCATTCTAAATTAAATTTTCTTCCCCTGTTAGTGATAGAGATGACTTGAAATGGTGAATAATCATGTAAATTTTAAAATGTTGGTTTTATTTTATAGTTTGTTTTCCGTTATCAGTTCACCTTTCTAGTGACTGATTCTGGAGCTGACAAATGGGGGGCGTTTTGCCATGTCTTCTAGCTGGCTCCTCAGGCTCGCAGTCTTCTTGGGGGTAAAGTTTTGCCTCTACCTTTTGTTTATTTTGTTTTCTCTCTCTCTCTCACTCTCTCTGTGTTTCTCTCTAGGTCTCTGTCTGTCTCTCTGTGTTTCTCTCTGGGTCTCTGTCTGTCTCTCTGTATTTTTGTCTCTCTGTGTTTCTCTCTGAGAAACTGAGGGTGCATTTAAACTCACCGTATGTTCCAGACTGGCCTCCCGTTCACAGCCTCCTATCCAGCCTCTTAAGTCCTGGGATTACAAGTGTACACCACTGTGCCCATGTCTGTAATGTCTTTTAATATAAATATTGAACATTTGTATTATGGAGATACATTTCAAACATACAATGAAGTTGATGACTTAGTAAAATATATATATTTCTTTCTTATAGGCATATGAAACCTTGCTCCAGAAGGTACTTAAAAAGGAATTTTAATCTACTATTTAGTCTATAGCCACACCACCCTGAGTACACCCTATTTCACCTGAATCTGCTTTTTAGTAACTAGAGTAATCAAACCCCCAAAAATCTACATTCATCTCCAAGGAACATAATACCAGAATTTAGCCAATGAAATCAAAGTTATCATGTCATATAGTTAATATTAAGGTAAAATATTAGTACTACAAATGACATTTGTTGCATTGATTTCATTAAAATTGAAATATGAGATCTGAATCAAGAAATGTTTGAAACGGTATTTCTTTAGCCTCTTGCTATAGTGATTTATAGCTCAAAAGTTCCTAAAAGGATTCTTTAACATGTGTGAAATGGTAATTTGTTGTAAGTGTTCTCCAATATCATTAGATATTTGGGCCCTATTTACTCCTGTGAGTGAGGTGCAGGGGAAGCCATGTGAATGTCCATAGTTCCAAGTCACTAAGTCAGAGTTCCATATGTGACAAACTATGGCTGTGCCTCACTAGAAGAGTCCACCAGAAAAATGTCAAGAGCTAGTTGGGCGTGACAATACACACCTAAAACCCTAGAACTTTGGAGGCTGAGGCAGGAGGATCACTATAAATTTGACGCCAATCTGGCCTAGGTAGTGGGCTCAAGGCCAGCCTGGCCTACATGGCAGGACCTTGCATTAAACCAACCAACCATCCAACCAACCAACAAACAACTTTCTAGAGCTAGGAAAACTTCTAAAGCACACAACTTCTAAAGCTACCATGTCACTTTCTTTGGAGGGAAATATATCTTTGTGTCAGGTATGGTAGATATGCCTGTAATCCTAGCACTCAGGAGACTGAGGCAGGAAGATTGCTGTGAGTTTGAGGCCAGCCTGGGCTATATATTAAGTTCAAGCAAGGTTAGACTGGATTACATAGTGAGATGCTGTCTAAAAGAAAAAAAAAAAAATATATATATATATATATCTCAGCATCATCTTACAAAACACCTTTCCACAGCCAAGGATTAATTTGGCCACCCTGGGACATGTGCAAGGTCCTGGGTTTGATACTTGACAACACAAAACTAATTTGGATTAGGAAAATTAAGGTTCTAATGACAAATTACATTGCCCAGAATAGAAAATTCTCCCTGATAAGGAGACTGTTCTCCGGAGAATGCTACAGTGAAAAACAGGTCAGCTTACAGAGCACAGGCAGTGTACTATTTGGGAGCTCACACTGCATGGCACCCACCTGGAACATGAGGGCAGCATTACCTGAAGCCTGGTCCTGCTGAGTGATGTGAACTCCCAGAAGAAATTTCTTTGGCCCAGAATCAGGGACTCCTGAGTGCAGCACACGATGCCCTCTTCAGCCAAGTGGATGAGCTGAGGGCAGAGTTCAAGGAGGAGAGCAAGAAGACTGCGAGCCTGAGGAGCCAGCTAGAAGACATGGCCATCCTGCAGAGGACCCTGGAGGAGGTAAATGATTAGAGAGGAAGGGGGCCATCACACGTGCCACATCCCCATTTCAGCTATGGTAAATGCACAAACAGCGTGGGTTTTTCATTTTTTTCAAATGAGAACATAGCTCCAGTTGGTTAAATTGTTTGCTCCACAGTATTGCATCATTGCAGAGAAATCCAGACTTACAATCATGTGTGTTCTCTAAAGTCCTTGCTCTTTCATAACATCGTGCTGCTTCCCTAACAGTGGGAAGGCTGACGTCATAAAAACATACTTCAGAGAATGTCTTTCATTCCAGCGAAAGTTTCTAGCCCACTTTCAATTGGTTCAAATGTTCCTAGATGGATGGGTTCTCCTAGACACCATGGGAGATGAGCGCAGAAATGCTCTCACCCACGCCCATGCTGCAATGGAAAAGGGAAAATCTGTGCAGGGCGATACATTCTGAAAGTTTTATCTCAAAAGCTCTACTGTCACTCTTAGTTTCAGGAAAGAGTTGAAGATTTGGAGAAAGAACGAAAATTGCTGACTGACAATTATGACCGACTCTTAGCAGAGTGAGTACCGTGTTTGGGCTCAGAGCATCAGTGACCGTAAGGGAACATTATAGAAAGCTCCTTCCAAGCTGTAAACACATACCTAGAATTTTTAAATATATTGGGAGACTGGTATTCAATATGGTTAGTGAGGAGATAAATTGTCACAGTTTTTTCGGAAGAGAATTGGACACTATCGCACTGTTAAATATGCGTCTGTTTTTTTCTTATCAGCAATACCATTTTTTTAATCAAAACTAATAGAATCCCTTTGTGTATGTGCAAAGATACTTATGTAGTAAGGATGTTGAAGGACGGGAGAGAAAGGGGACGTGAAGAGAATTAAAATGTGTAATGTTCATGTACCAACTCCCCAGGAGGAATGTAATCACTATGTACTGCAAACATGCACTAATAAAAGTAAAACTTAAAGATGTTGCTGCGTTGCCAGTCATAGTGAAATCTAGAAACCACCCCAAATTCAGCTGATAGGAGGTTGGCTAAACAAATCAGATCGCATCCTCAGAATGAGGTTTAATGCAGCTGTTACAAATGAGATACAGTACACTGCCAACAAAAATGCAAGGATCTGTTAACTCTGTTCTGTGTGTTTATGGATGGCAAACTTTTAATGAGATGTTAGCATTACAATAAAACAAAAGAGCACTTTCACATTTATTCTTTATACTTATATATTATTTTAAATTTTCAGCAGAGTATGGTGGTGCATATGTGTAATCCCAGCACTTGGGAGGCTGAGGCAGGAGAATCACCATGAGTTCAAGGACAGCATGGTCTACATAGTGTGTTTTCAGGACAACCAGAATTGCATGGCGAGAGCTTGCCTCAAAAAAATTTTTTTTGCAACGAATATGTATTTGTGTATTAATTTGTACTTAGAGATACCTAAACACTTTTATTCTTTTTTTTTTTTTTTTTTTTACTGGTACCAGGGATCAAACTCACAACCATGTGCTTATAAGGCAGGCGCTTAAGCCACTGAGTTAAATCCCCAGCCCCAAGATACCTAAACACTTTTAAAAAGTTGAGACAGCAAGGAGCAAGTTGATGAAGACAGTACGGGAGGTCTTATGAGCATATTTTGGAAAAATGCAGTATTCAGTTCAGTAAAATGAAGCAGGGTGTGGCGGTCCACTTTGAAGACCCACGTGGCACGCATTCCTGGTGGCCTCCTTCCTTTATCACCTGGAGTATTATTCTCTGGGTCATCATATTATACATACACATTAAGAAATCTTAATACTAGCCTAGGTAAGTTATTTTTAGATGATATGAATTAAAAATAGAAATGAGAAATATATATATAAGTAGAAGCAACTCTTTTATATCAGTGTGATTCCACTTGTGTAAATGGCCAAGAACTGTGTGTTTCTAAATTTGTGTGCCTGATTTATTTCACTTAGAATTGTGTTCTCGAGGTCCAATCATTCACTTACAAATGACTTAAGTTGCTCATTGTCATCTCCAAATCATTCACCCCAGCACACGACATCTGCATTCAATTGTCCAAATAATACCAGTACAAATCTTTCTCTTCAGTGAACTCAGAGAAATCAGTAGCGTAACTCTCTTAACTAGTTTTTGTATACATATAATTATCCATAAACATATACATATATTGTTTCTTTCAGCTTTTCACACTGAGACAATATGATGTTTACACGTGTGTGTCTTATTTCACTAATGAGTGTGGTCTCAAGTTGCATTCATTTACCTATAAAAGTCTTAAGTTTATCCCTCTTTATGATTGAGTAGTACTTTCTTTCTTTCTTTTTTTTTTTGTCTCTTTTGTTTTTATCGGTACCAGGGATTGAATTCACGACTGCCTGCTTGCAAGGCAGGTGCTTATGCCGCTGAGCTAAATCCCCAGCCCCAAGTATTTGTGATATTTTATACAAATATCACATCTTTTTTAATCCATTCCTCAGTCAATGGGCAAGTTGTTTCCAAACTCCGGCTGTTGCAAATTGTGCTGCTATAAATATGGGTGCACATATATCATTGTGGTATGATGTTTTTAATTCTTTTGGGAAGATGTCTAGAAGGGGAATAGCTGGGTCAAATGGAACTTTTAGTGTTAGTTTTTGAGGAATCTCCATGCTGATTTCCACATGGACCAATCTGGACTCCCACCAGCAGTGGAGAGGATGCCTTTTTACCCACGGCCTCTCCAGCATTTGTTACTGACTTCTTGATGACAGCCATTCTTTCTGGAGTAAGAGAGAATCGCAGTGTTTTTCTTAACTTGCATTTCTCAAATGACTGGTGATGCTTCCTCTGAGAAGTGTCTGTTCATTTTAGATGACTGTTTTTGGATTGAATCTTTTCTTTTTTTTTTTTTTGTACCAAGAATGGTATCAGAATTTTTTTTTTTTTACATAGCATTCTGGGAAAATTTGGATTGAATCTTTAAATTTGGGGGATATGGTTTCTTTGAGTTCTTTATATATTCCAGATATTAGTCCTTTGTCTGAGGGGAAGCTGTTAGAAAATATTCTCATTCTGTGGGTTGTCTCATTACACTACTGGTGATTTCTTTTGCTGTGCAACAGCTTTTTTTTTTTTTTTTTTTTTTAAATCTTTTTATCAGTACTGGGGATTGAACTCACGACTGCCTGCTTGCAAGGCAGGTGCTTATGCCGCTGAGCTAAATCCCCAGCCCCCTGTGCAACAGCTTTTTAATTTGATGGGACCCCAGTTGTTGATTCTTTGTGATATTCTCCATATGACTGGAGCTTTGTTCATATAGTCTTTGTCTACACCAGTATCTTTAAGAGTTTTACCTATTTCATCTTCTAGCAGATTTAGTGTTTCTGTTTTAATATTTAGATCTTTGAACTTTTTTGATTTTAGTTTAGTGCATGGTGAGAGATATGGGTCTAGCTTTAGCCTTTAACATGGAGAGCCAGTTTTCCCAGTACCATCTATTAAGGAGGCTGTCTTTCTTCCAGTGAAGGTATTTGACTCCTTTGTCAAAGGTTAGGTAGCGGGGTTGGGGATGTGACTTAGTGGGAGAATTCTTGCCTTGTATGGGTTCAATGCCCCGCACCACAAAAAAATAAATAAATAATAAATAAATAAAAGAAGAGGAAAAGAAAAAAATAGTAGCTCAGTATGCTTGGAGTTGTGTCAGCGTCTTTTATTCTGTGTTCCATTGTCCATCTTTTTGATAGTACCATGCTACTTTTATCACGATAGCTTTGTAGAATAACTTCGAATTGGGGATTGTGAGGCCCCTTTCCCAGCCACTGTTGCCCAGAATTGCTTTTGCTATTCTGGGTCTATGTGTGTTTTATTCTCAAAAACACCGGCCTCCTGGGTGTGTTGGTGTGGGCCTGTAATCCCGGCACTGGGGAGGCTGAGGTAGGAGGATCGCTGAGAGTTTGAGGCCAGCTTGGGCTCCGCAGTGATTCAAGGCCTGTCTGAGTTACACAGTGAGAGCCTATAAAAAAGTCAGACAGCCCACATCTGCCTCACAACTAGATGACAGTGGGAAGTCTCATTCCTGCAGTGCAGTACAGTGATGCATAATCTAATTCAAAGGCAAGTTTTCCCTGAAGTAGTCATTGGAGAGGGGTGAGGGAGAAGAGAAAGGCTTTGGACCTGGCTTCACACACAGTGCCCTGCTGGCACAGTGGGAAAGTCCCTTGGGGTTGCTTGTCAGAGAAGCACCCAAGACCTGGTCACAAGTGACGTCGAGCAGTTCCTTACGGGCTCAGAAGTTCCAAGGCAGTTGGTGAGTGACAGTTACAAATAAAGCAGCAGTGGATGAAACATGTACGGCGCTGAGTGATGAACCAAGCCAAGAGATGCTGAGACTATATTCTAAAGATGTCGCAGCGCACACCTTCCAGTGCCCGCCTGACCACACGCCTCCCCTTTTCAGCGTGCTGGACAGCAGCAAGCAGCCACCCTGGAGCAGTGAGCCTGCAGGTGAGCAGCTGAGGCAGCAGGTCTCTCAGCTGCAGGACCAGCTGGATGCTGAGCTGCAGGAGAAAAGGAACATCTTGCTTCAGCTGTCCACAGAGAAAGGTAGGCTGGAGCTGAAACTGCTCTCGCAGAGGGGGGCAGCCTCCACATGTGGCTGGGTGAGGGAGCTGGGCCAACCCTCAATGTATCCTTCATGGTTTTAGAAATTAGAGTAAAGTGGGCTAGGGATTTAGCTCAGCGGCATAAGCGCCTGCCTTGCAAGCAGGCAGTCGTGAGTTCAATCCCCGGTACCAATAAAAAGGAGAAAGACCAAAAATAAATAAATGTGAATAAAGACACTGGTGCTTTCCAGTCAGGAAGGCATGACAACTACCTACCCTACGTATATAATTTTTCTTATGTCTTGCAAATGTGTATGGGTTTCAAATATTCCTTCGTTGTTTGAAAGTGTTATTAGATTTATCAAATTTGTGCCTTATCAGATTCTAGTATATTAAATATAAGAGTGAAGGAAAAGAAAAAAAATTTTGTTGTATTCAGGATTGGACTGAGAACCTTGGGCATGCTTGCAGGTGCTCTGCCACTGAATTATAACCTCAGCCCAAAAGGAAAGAAATATGAGTAGCAGAGGCAGGGCCAGATGTAGTGACTCATGCCTGTAATCCTAGCACTCAAAGATGTGGTGGTGCACACCTGGCATCCCAGCACTCAAAAGGCTAAGATGATCTTTGAGAGTTCAAGGCCAGGCTGAATGGCATAGTGAGACTCTGCCTCAAAACACCAAACAATACAAAACAAACAACAAAAAGTAACAGAGACAGTAATCTTAAAAAGATTTTCAACACTAAAAAATTCTACTAGTACACGTTTACAGTACATGATGATTACTTTTATCATGGGGAGTTAGTACACGTGCAACATTTGACTTCTGTTTACTTAGTACATTTAGTACTAAGTACATTTGACTAAGTAAGTTAGTACATTTGACTTCTGTTTACTTCTCCTTCACCTCCCTTCTCTCCTCATCCCTAGATCCCTTTCCTGTTTGCAAAAGTCTACCTCCTTGATTCTCATTATCTATCTTTTATTTTGCTCTTTAATTTATTCATACCTTGGATTTCTTATAGAAGAAAAGATGTGATATTTAAGCTTGCACATCGGGCTGGGGATATAGCTCAGAACTACTGCATCTGCTTGGCAAGCACAGGGTCCTGAGTTTGATTTTTGGTGCCAGAAAAAAAATTAAGCCTTAGTGTCTGATTTATTTCCCTTAATATTATAATCTTAGAGTGCATCCTTTTTTCCTACAAATGACTCACATTTAGCCTTATTTATGGACGTGTACTCCTGCATTGCTTATAAATACTACCTTTGCCCATTCATCTCTGATGGACATGTAGGCTGCTTCCAAGATTTATCTGTTATGAGTTGTGCTGCTCTAAACATAGGTGTGCATGCGTCACTGTGAGGTGGTGACTTTAGCTCTTTTGGGAAGATACCTAGAAGAGAAATAGCTGGGTTGAATAGAATTTCTATTTTTAGTTCTTTGAGGAACCCCCATAGTGGTTGCAGTAGTTTACATTCCCATTAGCAGTGCAGAAGAGGAGCCAGGTAAACACTGAACATAGGCCAGGCGGCCTGTGTGGCGTAGGAAACACCAGTGAGTTTCCGGAGACGTCAGGGCAATCCCACTCGAGCCTTCTCTAGTGCGCGTGATGAACCACCTTCCTGCAGGTCAGGGTGGTGCACAGACAGGTGCAACAGAGAACAGGAGCCTCCAAGTCAGCATTGAGTGGGGGCAACACTTGGGGAGATGGGCTTGGCTAGTGTTGGGGAAAAAATAAGATTCTGTGGTTATTTTATTCCCGCTTCCACTCTACAGATTGTAGATGTTGTTGTTTGTTTTGCTTTTTTTTTTTTTAAGACTGGATCTCGATGTGCAGTCAGGCTGGCCTTGAACTTGTGGCAATCCTCCTGTCTCAGCCTCCCAAGTGCTGGGATTATAGGCATGTACCACCTTGCCTGGCTTGTTTTGCTTTTAAAGTCAAATGTCATCTCTTCACTGGTCAACAAGTCAGAGGCCTTTTGTAGAAATAAGAGAGAGTTGTTTCTCTTAGGGTGAATTTGTAAAACAAAAAGAATGTCCGTGGGAAAAGTTAATTCATAGTTGATTCAACTCCAACTGTGCTTAACGATAACTGTACAGTTTCAACTTTCTGGAGTTTTAAAAAGTTTTTATTTTATTAGGATGTGATTACAGTTCGTGCAGTTTACGTGGCATATTTTATTCTACTCATTCCCCCTTTCCTCCACCTCACTCCTCATGCTTTTCCCCGTGGACCTCTGCTCTATTTCTGGTTTTTTTTTTCTTAATCGGTACCGGGTATTGAACTCACAACCGTGTGCTTGCGAGTCAGGCCCTTTTGCTGCTAAGCTAAATCCCCAGCCCCTTCCCTTCTCTATTTCAAGGGGTCCATCTCCACGGCCCCTTCCTATCCACCCTGGTTATTCTTTTTGTTTATATTTTGCCAAATGAGAGATGCCATATGGTATTTAAGTGTCTGTGTCTGATTTATTTCACTCATTATATTTTCTAGGTACCTCCATTTTCCTACAAATGTCTCAAACCTTCATTCTTTTTATTTATTTATAAATTTTATATTATTCTATTGATACATTTCAGGCACATATAACAATCACATTCATCATAGGGAATTCGCACCTGCATATGAAGTCTTGCTTTCCTCTCCCCCTGCCTCAGCCCCTCTTCCTCTCCTTTGTTTCCATTTTGTCCTTTTTTCCCCCTTCCCTGCTTTCCCTCTCCCCTCTTTATTGTTTCTCGCCATTTGAACATTTTCTTCCCGTTTCCCAAAATCTATTATACATTTTGGTCTTTATTTACACTTTGGTTTCTCACACCAGAGAAACAATGCAGTATTTACACGTGTGTCCAATTTGTTTCTCTTAAGAATATGGTCTCAGGGTGCGTCCATTTAGCTAGAAATGTCTAAAGCTTATGCTTCATGGAACAGTAGCATTTTGTGGTTGTTGTGTTTTTGAGACAAGGCCTCTTTATGCAATTCAGGTTGTCCTTGAATTTACTGTATAGTCCAGGCTGACCTTGAACTCTCAGTGATCCCCCCGCTCAGCCTCCTGAGTGCTGGGATTACCAGCATATGTCATCACCATGCCCGGTTGATATTCTATGGTCTTTTTTATCCATTCCTCAGTTGTTGAGTATTTGGATTGTTTCCAAGATTTAGCTGTTAGAAATTGTGCTGCTGTAAACCTGGGTGCACATACATTGCTGAGTTATGATGTTTTTAATTCTTCTGGGAAGACACCCAGAAGGGGACTGGCTGGGTCAAATAGGACCTCTAATCCTAGTTTTTTGAGGAATCTGCACACAGATTTCCACAGTGGTTATAGCAGTCTGCACTACCACCAGAAGTGGAAAAGGATTCCTTTTTCTGTGCACCCTATTATTGGTTGATTTCTTTTCTTTCTTTCTTTCTTTTTCTTTTTGTTCTTTTTGAGACAGGGTTTCTCTACACAGTACAGGCTGGTCTTGAGCTCACTTTGTAGCCCAGGCAGACCTCAAACTCAAAACAATCCTCCTGCCTCAGCCTCCTGGGATTAAGTTGATTTCTTGATAACAGCCATTGTTCCTGAGCGTTGCTTCAGTTTGTGTTTCTCCAATGGCCAGAGGTGTTAAATATTTTTTCACCACTTGTAGTTCTTTCACTGTGAAGTGTCTGTATATTTCTTGACTGGATCTTTAATTTTCAGTGGTTTATTTATTAATTTATTTATTTACTTTAGTTCTTTATATATTCTAAATGTTAGTCCTCTGAGGTGTAACTACCAAAATTATTTTTCATTCTGTAGGTTGCCTGTTCACCCTATTGATTGATTTTTTTTTTTTTGCTGTACAGAAAAGTTTTGGTCTGTTATAATTCCATTTGTTGATTTTTGTTGCTATGGTGCGATTGAGGTTCTGTTTTCCTATGCCTACATCTTCAAGTGTTTTACCTATTTTATTTTCCATTAGGGTTTCTGTTTCTGTTTCAATATTTAGACCTTTGGCCTATTTTATCTTTTTTTTTTTTTTTTTTGCGGTACTGGGGACTGAACTCATGACTTCATGCTTGCCAGGCAGACGCTTATGCCACTGAGCTAAATCCCCGGCCTGGCCCATTTTATCTTTTTTTTTTTTTACGATTTTTTTTTTATTTAAGGAGAAAAAGAAAAAAACAGAAAAAGGGTACAAGTAATACAAAATTTAAAAAATAAACAAAAAAATTACTAGTTAATAGATTACATACATATTCTCAACTTAGAAATAGTTGTTCAAGTTACAAAATTAAAGCATATAAAGTGGACTTTCAAACAGTGAGAGTGCAAACAGTTTTGTTCGGTGATCCAAAAAAACTCAGTGATATGGTTATCTATCTTATACACTTAAACATATATGTAGTTATAACCTTTATAGCACTTTCTTTTGTTTTATATAATGACAATTACACATTTTGGGTTTTATTACTCTCACAGTTCTTATTACTTTTTTTGAAGAGAGTAAAACCAAATGTGGCATATGAGAACAGAGTCAGTCAAATCAAAAGGATGGACATAATAGATAATGTAAAAACAAAATATAAGGTGATCAACAATGGTTACCATTACTGCCTCTTGCTATTTTAAGAAGAATTGCCAGTTATAATAAAATTGAACAAAACAGTAAAGAATAAAACCAAAGCATTGGAGACATTACAGGACTTTAAAAGAAGATAATAGTCAACCGGAATGGGCGTCATAATGATTCTTATTGTCTTCACAGTTTTGCCTATACTTTTGAACTTGGTACTATCAAGCAAAGCAGAATAGGAGAAAATCAGTCAAAACAAGATGGTGAGGGCAATACAGGATTTCAAATCAAGTTAATAGGAAATCAAAGTAGGTTACTATAATGTATCCTGCTATTTTTATTTATTTTCCCCTTAATTAAAAAAGATAAAAAAGAAAAAAGTAAATAATTTAAATAAAAGAGGATTGAGATAAAAGAGAGCATAACAACAAAACAACACAGGTCAAAACATACCCATTTAAGCAAAATAGTGTTTCATCACAAAATATCCTGACATAAAAATAGTTGCCATAGTGTCTCTTTCCTTGAAATCTTTGAGTATAACTTCGTATACTGTAGCACCAAACATTTCAAGACACTATAAAACCATTCAAGAGAATGACACTATTACAGGGTATTTAGAACCAATTAACAGAAAATGAACAATGTTTTCTGTATAATCTCCTTGTCTATAAAAGTTTTTACTTATATTATCATATATAATAAAATCCAATAAGATACAACCTTTTAAGACCGATGAAGACAGAAGAACAAAAGCTTGATGGGACTTCAAAACAAGATGATACTAAATCACCACTAGCTATTACAATGTCTTGTTTTCTCCAAGATAGCTGTTCCTACCATCCGATCTTCTCTGCCTCATTTCTGTTGACTCTTTTTCTGTCATTAGTTGTCAGTTTGTCTTCTTCATTTTGCTTTCTGCTCCATTCATTGTGGCCTCTCTGCCACTATTTCTAGAATCTTGGTATTTTCCTTTTTTAGAATATTCTGCAGTATTCTCTGTAGAGTTGAATTGGTGGTTGCAAATTCCCCTAGTTCCTCTTTATCTTGGAAGCACCTTGTTTTTCCATCAATTTCTAGGGACAGCTATGCAGGATGTACCAATGTTGGCTGGAGGTTGTTGTCTTTCAAAGCTTGAGTTATTTCCCCCCACGCTCTTCGTGATTTGATGGTTTGTGTTGAGAAGTCTGCCGTAATTCTGATGGGTGTTCCCTTGTAACTATCTGTTTCTTGTCTCTGATGGCTTTTAATATTCTGGTCTTATATTAGATTTCTGGAATTTTGATTATTATATGCCTGGGTGTAGCTCTGTTTGGGTTGTAGGTGGCTGGGGTCCTGTATGCCTCATATATCTGAGTATCTTTACCATTTGCTAAATTAGGGAAATTCTCTTGGATCATTTCTGTGAATAGCTTTTGTAGTCCATTTGTTTGTGTCCCTAGTTCTTCTTTTATGTTCTTAAGTTATAGATCCTCTTATCGTCTTCTAGCCTTTGTATTGTTGCTGTTTGTTTTTTTGTTATTTTTAAGAAGTTTTTCATTTCATGCTCCCATTTACAAATCTGCCCTCCAGTTCAGATAATCTATCCTTAGTTTCTTTCAAGCTGTTATGCCAGTTTTGAATAGAGTTTTTAGTTTCCTGGTAATCTCTTTGAACTGCTTCACGTATTCTATGTTTTCTCTATTTTCTCTATCAAACAATTCTCCCTTTTTTTTCTGTTCTTCCAGTCTACCATCTGTTTTTTCTTGGGCAGTGCTTAGCATTTCTCTAACTATTCTACTTATATCTTGCTTCAGGTCATTAATAACTTCATTCCTGAACTCATCTATGGGGCTCTGGAAATAGCGCTTTATGTCTGTTGGTGCCGTGTCTGCTATTGCGTGTTTCTCAGGATTCGGGGCCGAGGACCCTTTCTTGTTGCTCCCTCTTCCATTTTTTTTTTTTGTTCCTTTTATACAAGCATATAAAGGAGGCCCACTCTCTTTCTTTGTCAGTTACAGTTTGTTTGAATTGTGCCAGCTAGGTGTTCCTGCCCATTGCAGTGTACTAGGGAGACACAGACCTGGGCACCCTATGCTGGGCCCACCCCTCCAGGTCAACCTATTGAAGGTTTCACTGCTAGGGTGCACCTCTAGGCGCTGGGACCTGTTTTGGGCTAGCTTACTGGGTCTTAGTCAGAGGCGTCACCCAACCCAGGCACTCCCCACCAATCCTGCTTGAGAGGAGAATATGTGACTGAAGTCACTGCAGTGCCCTCTTCCTGCTTGTCTGCCCAGTCCCAGTATGTCCTTTGCTGAAGCCTTCTACTCTGTGGAAGGGTCCCCAATCTACTCAATCACCGCAGGTCAATGCAGGACTCCTGGCCAGTCCCGCTCTCAACTCCATTCACTGCTTCCCACTCTCAGAGCTTTCGTACCTCTCTCCTTGCCGTGCCGATTGGGATGCAGCAGTGGCTGCAGGAAATTCAAATCACGGCTTCCAGTGGCGCGGGCCCCAGCTTCCATACTGAGACCTTATCTGTTCCTGTTATATCACCGGGATTGCATTTCCAGTTGGTTTCTCTTAGTTTAGTTCATTCCTGGGTTGGCAAAGTATATCTCCCCTTGCTTAGGACTTCTTGCCTGGCACCATTCCTGGATTTTAAGTGCGGTTTCTCAGACAGCCTCTGAAGCTGCTGCTATCTATCCACCATGTTCTCCCAGAAGTCTCTGGCCCATTTTATCTTAATTCATTGTAGGATGGGAGAGGTAAGTGTCCAGTTTCAATCTTCTGCACAGATAACCATTTTCTCATTGCTATCTTTTGACTAGGCTATCTTCTCTCCAGCATATGCATTTGGCTCTTTTGTTGAAGATCAATAGCTCAATGGGTCTGGAGAAGTAGTCTCAGTTTTGTTCTGTTGACCCATGCATCTGATTTTTGTTCCAGTACCAGGCCATTTTTATCACTATTGCTTTGCAGTATAGCTTCAAGTCAGGTATTGCTATTCCATCTGCTTTGTTCTTACTGCCCAAAATTGCTTTTGCTACTCTGGGTCTCTTCTGATTCCATCTGAATTTTAAGATTGTTTTCTCCAGTTCTGTAACAAATGGTTTTGGTATGTTGATTGAGCCTGAATCAAATCTGTACAACAGATTTGGGAGTATGACTATTTTGACAATATTGATTCTGCCTACCCAGGGGCAGGGGATGTCTTTCAATTTTCTGATAACCTTTTCAGTCTCCTTTATCAGAGTCTTGTAGTTTTCTTTGAGATGTCTTTCATTTCCTTGGTTAGGTTAATTCCTAGGTATTTTATTTTTGAAGCTACTATGACTAGTATTATTTTCAAGGTCTTTTTTTTGTTTATTGGTACCGGAGATCGAATTCACGACCGCGTGCTTACAAGGCAGGCGCTTATGCCACTGAGCTAAATCCCCAGCCTGACTAGTATTATTTTCATATTTCCTTCTCATCCTGTTCATTATTGGGGTACACAAGTGCTAATGATTTTTGTGTGTCGATCCTGCATTCTACTACATTTCTGAAGTTTGTTATTAATTCTAAAAGTTGTTTGGTGGAGCCCTTTGAGTCATTTATGCAGAGTACACTGTTATTTGCAAATGCTGATAATTTGAGTTCTTCTTTTTCCTTGTCTGAATTACTTTTCCCCCAGCTCAAAATGAAGATCTGAAGCTTGAAGTCTCCAATATCCTTCAGAAGCATAAACAGGAGGTGGAAATGCTCCATGAGGCAGCCGCCACAGCCCTGGCTCCAGACAGGCACTCCGAACTGGCTCTGCTCCCAGTCCCATTCCTAGAGGCAGCTCAGAGCGAGGTAACGAGACCCCTGGCCGGTGTCACTAGAAAGACAGAGTGACTGAGTGGTCACTTGTGCCGAGAGGCTGGGAGCTCACAGAGTTTCATGAGCTCCGCCACATTTCCCACCCTTCACAGCTCATACATTGTAGGTTATCTTTTCAGAGGAGGACTGACCCACTGATGGGCAGACTGCCATGAAAGGCTGTGTAGCCTCCCTGCACTGCTGCCCTGGGGTGTAAAGCCTGGGCAACAGGTGCTTGTGATGCAATTCACACCCTCTTTCGCCGCACAGTCAGTTCTGCGACTGGCATTTCATTGCTTCATGGAGAATAGCTATCACTGAACCTGTCATATTTGTTTTGTTTTGGAAGATCATAGTGTACTCCACTTTGAGGTACATCCTCAGCTTTTTTTACTTTGAGACACAGTCTCCCTAAAATTTGAACTCGAATGTCAGCCTCTGAACAGCTGGGCTCACGGGCGCTTGCCACCATGCCTGGCTCTTCCTGTCATTGTCATATTCTGTCTTACCAGTGTTTTTCCCTCTGTAGCCTAGTGAACCAAAAGCCCAAGAAGAGAAGAAACTGTCCCAGATGCTGAATGAGCTGCGAGTGTCACATGCAGAGACCACCCTGGAACTGGAAAAGACCAGAGACATGCTTCTTTTGCAGCGTCAGATCAATATGTGCTATCAGGTGGCGGACAGGACGGGGACAGATGTGGGGCTACTCTCAGGGCTGGGCAGCAAGCAAGACCCGAGTGTCTGGGGTGACAGCAGGTGTGTACCACCTCACACAGACATACAACATGCTGTCCTTGGAGAGCCTGAGGACTCACATGTGCCGTGGCACCTTGGCACTGGTGGGGCGGCAGGTGTGCGGCTTTCCCCAGCCCTGGGTCACTATGCACAAAGGTACCAAGTGTGTGTGCTGCTCAGGAATGGTTCATGTGAAATCTTTCTTGCTAAGGAGACAGCAGAGTCTTCTTTCCCCACAAGGGCTAGCTGTTTGTCTTGGATCTTTGGTTCTGGCCCCAGAGCGAGAAAAGTCTAGACATTATTTTGTTTCAGGAGGAGATGGAAGCAATGATGACAAAAGCTGATAGCGAAAGTAAAGATCACAGACAAAAACTGGAGCGGCTGAGTCAACTCCTCGACCTCAAGAACAACCGAATCAAGCAGCTGGAAGGTATTTTAAGAAGCCATGGACTCCCAACATCCGGCAAGTCTTAGCACCTTGTGGCTGTCCTGGGGTCCCCACTCTGCTGCCCTGTTCCCTCTGTGCTCTGTCCAGAGCGCGTGGCTCACCCCTCCTGCTCTGCTTCCTGTTATCTTCATGGTTCTCATAGCTGATTACCAACTGCTTCGCCTCCATTGTGCATCTGTCTTTCTCTGATTTCTGTCGAGTGTTTTGCAGCCCCAGCAATCGCTCTGAGTCTGATTACATTTTGAGAATGAGAATCCAAAGCAAGAATGCCACTGTGTTTTTCGCCCTCCATCTCTCTCTCCCTCTCATTTCTTCAATCGAAATCTATAAAGCAACTTTTGTCAGCTAACAGACCTTCATCACTCATTTTCCATCATATTTTTTCTGTGATTTATCTCCAAAATTCCTCTTGTGATTTGAGGATATCAACAGTGACAGGAGTGACAGGCCAGTTGTCACTGAATGGGTTTCGCTCTGTGGTTTCGCTCTCTATTAGCATAATCACTGCCATCCAGGGTCGGGCTTCAGCTTTGTATGTCAAGAAACTCGCTTGTAGAGATGAGAGACCTGACTCACACTAAGCAAACTGGCCAGAGACTGATATTTAAACCAGCACATAAGTCACAGTGGTGCTGTCCCACTGCTGCCCTCAGTGTTTGTGGCCACATTCCAGGGAAGCTTCTTTCTGACAAGAGACCGAGTGATAAGTGAATTTCTTAGTAAACTGTTGGGTGGGGCCCAATGTAATGTAACAGACATTGTGCTGTAAGTTACTGTCCTCTCCACAGCCCGCACACCACATGTTTAGAAGCAGTCACATTTCGTGCCTCTAGGCCTGCTTGTGAAAGGCTGCCTGGCTGAAAGAACCTCGCTCTAAGCATGCCCTGTCTTCTGAGGGATGAAGGGTTCCCTAGTTCTGTGTGTTTCCCAGTCACCGTTCTCTACCTCCTGTCTGAAGCAGGCATTGGATTATTTGACTATCTAAATTCAAATCTCCTGGTTATTGTTCTGTTGCTTTTCTTTTTGAATTGCATATAATTTCACCTTGGACTCCCACCATGTCTCCATGCTCCTCTGTCTTCCTCTATCCTAAAGAAGCCCTTCCTGCTTTTTAATGCACAGGCAGTTTCTTTTTTTTTTTTTTTTAAACCAGTACCAGCGATTGAACTCACGACCACCTGCTCACAAGGCAGGTGCTTATGCCGCTGAGCTAAATCCCCAGCCCCACAGGCAGTTTCTTTCACCTCTAGAACAGCTCAAAGACGTCGCTTATGGCACCCGACCACCGTCAATATGTCTGGAAATGATGCCAGCCCATGGGGATGAGAACGGAGTGGACATTTCTCTACTGCATCTGGGCGAGAATCTTTTTGAGTTGCACATCCACCAGGCTTTCCTGACATCCGCTGCCCTGGCTCAGGCCGGAGACGTCCAGCCCACCACTTTCTGCACCTATGCTTTCTATGATTTTGAAACCCACTGCACTCCATTAGCAGTAGGGCCACAGCCCCTCTATGACTTTACTTCCCAGTACGTGATAGAAACCACTTCCCTTTTCTTGCACTATCTTCAAGGAGCTTCTGCCCAGCTTGATTTACACCAGGCTGTGGCCAGCGAGCACCGGACTCTTGCATCTGCACGGATTTGTTTTGACAAGGTGCTAGAGACCGTGGCGAAAGTCCACGGTTCAGCCACGCTGACTGGTGAGTGCTGCCCGCTTCCTGCAGCTCCTAGGACCCGTGTGGAATTTCCCAAAGCCTGTAGTTGCTCTGCTCGTGGCTTCCCATTTTCACCTTCTGCCTCTGCCAGACCATCTCAGTATTCCCCATGCCTTTTGCTTTCTGCTACCCAGGAGCTGGTGGACAAGACTTTGGGGTGCTAGAATACTGGGTGAGGCTGTGCCTGCCCCTCAAAGCCAGCCTACAGGCATGCCGTAGGCAGAAGAAAGCCCAGGCCTACCTGTCAACCAGTGTGCATGGAGCAAGGGAGGCCCAGGAGAATGAGGTGAGAGAAGGATGTATCTGTGCCTCTCCGAGGAGCTGCAGCCACATAGCTCCTGAGAACAGCTCAGTCTTCAGTCTCAGGGTTTGCGCGCTGAGTGTAAGTGAAGAGAAAAGCTGCCACATGAGCACTAGCCCGGATTCTTCCCTTGGTCAAAGTTAAGTCCAATGTGAAATCCTGCTCTTGGAGCCTTGACCTCTCCTAGCTGTGCATAAATAAGCTTTTCTGTGTCGGGCTCTGGGCAAGTACACACTGGAGCCAGGGCCAAGCTGGTGAGAGGCTGGGGCTTCTCTGTGGCTGACTCAGAACAGGGCTTATGAAGCTGTAGCTCCCCCTCATTTGAGCGCAGGGCTTCACAGGTGGCAGCACCCTCAGCACAAGGCCAACCTCTTTCCAGGCCAGATTGGACACCTCAAGCCCTGCGAACGAGCTGCGGATTGAAATCACCAGGTGCTGTGGCCTGCGGAGTCGACAGTCAGGAGCTCAGCCCAGCCCCTATGCCATGTACCGCTTCTTCACCTTCTCTGACCACGACACTGCCCTCATCCCCACCAGCGACAACCCCTACTTTAATGACCAGGCCCTGTTCCCAGTGCCGCCGAGCGATGAGCTGGATCAGTACCTGAGGCGGGAGGCCCTGACCGTGTATGTTTTTGATGATGAAGACCCCGAGCCTGGCTGTTACCTTGGCCGGGTCCAAGTGCCCTTGCTACCTCTTGCACAGAATAAGGTTATTAAAGGTGGGCTCTCAAGGCTTCCCCAGCCTTCCGCACTCCCCAACATGGTCTCTTTGTCCTGATTCTCCTTTTCTTTGATTGCTTGCTTGGAACAGTCTCTCCTACAGCCAGCCAAGAGGTCTTAACATGTCATCAAGAGCTGCAATAGAGAAGACCTGAAGCTTCGCTCCTCCAGCAGGAGCACAGCTGGGCGTCTGTCGCCTTTTAGCTGCCCATGTGGGTCGGCTTCCAGCCTGACCTCTATCCCCACTCTCAACAAAAGCTCTTAAACCATTGTGCTCCCCAGTACCCCTTCTTTACTTCTTTACTTATGGCCCATGGGTGCTCAGACTGTGACCAGATACTGGGTATAATTTTTTTTTTTGGTCTTTTTTGAGACAAGGTTTTACTGCACAGTTCAGGCTGGCCTGGAGCTCACTTTGTAGCCCAGGCTGGTTTCGAACTTGCAACGATCCTCCCACCTCAACCTGAGTGCTGGGATTACAGGTGTGAGCCACCACACCCAGCTAGATACTGGGTATAATCTAACACTATCCCATGATTCCTCACTTCTGTTAATCTTTAGACCCAAGTAAGAAAGAATCCTATATCTGGCCATGAGAAAGGCAAAATTTTTGGATGTAGAGCTGAGCTACTCACTATCTTACCTTAGTTTGATACCCAGGATTGTGGGATGTACCTAGGAGGAGTCACCTCTCTGGTCCTGTACCAGAAGTGTGGACAGGCACAGCCAATACCAGCCATATTTACCAAGATTCTGGGTGCCCCAAGAAGTGGTGAAGCATCTCTGGTCCCACTAAAAACTTGACACTGAGGCTCAAAATTTGTTCAGCCAAGAGGACCGGCTGTGTGACCCATCTGTTAATCAGTGTTGTAAAGCAGATATAGAAGCGAAAACCCACTTTGCCGAAGCTCTTAATTTTTCTTGGACCATCTGAGCATTGGTGATGGCTTTCTTGGTCTGCTTATGGTATAGGAAACATCTGATGTGATGCACGCCTGTTCGGTGGCTGATGACTGATGACAAGCAAGCTGTGTTCCTCACCATGCCTCTTCTATCTGTTCCTGAAACCTGGAAGTACCTGTCTTTCTCTGTTGATAATCTAACTACACCGCCATTTTGTGTTACTTCTGAATATAGCATCATCATGATTATTTCAGTGTTAATTACTTGTAAAATATGATGATATAAAGTGGGGAGAGCAGGTCTTAGTGACTGACACATACCCGTAATCCTAGAACTTGGAAGCTGAGGCAAGTTTAAGGCCAGCCTGGGCTACATAGTTCAAGATCAGCATGAACTACATGCTGATCCTGTCTCAAAAAAATAAAGAGGGGGAAGAGTGCAGACAAGATGCTAATAAAAGCTCACTTGTCTATATCAATGTCTTTATGTCTCTCAGGTGACTTTACCCTCACTGACCCTGCTGAGAAACCAAGTGGATCCATTCAGTTGAAGCTGGACTGGAAGTCTCACTACCTCCTTCCCGAGAGCTTCCAGAAACACGATGCGTACACTGAGGTGCGTGACACCAAAGACAGAGATGTCACCTGCGGAAATAAGGGCTTTGCTTCCTTAGATAGTCTTACGGAGTAGATCTGACAGGGTCACTTATTAAAATTGGAGTAAATGGGGTTTATTCTGTGAATGTCATCTGTAATGCATATTTAATCTGGAAGTTACTGATGAAACAAACCCCTGGGTTTTGCTGTGGGAAGGAGGGAGAGCGTCTCTCAGTTCAGTGGCAGGCAAGAAATGAAATTTCATGCTAGTTCATCAACCCCTTTCTTGGATGTCGAGTTTGCTAAGACTTTTCTCTGCTTCTTCTGTTTAGAACTGGCTGTCATCTGCTGAGGTTCCCCCCGAAGCTGGCCAGTGCCAAACAAAGAGGAACCCTCCTCAGATGGGAGCCGGGAAGGAAAAGGAGCACCAGGTTGTGAGCTACTGCAGAAGAAAGCATGGCCACAGAACAGGTGTCCAGGGAAGGAACAGACTGCAGTATTTCAGTCGTAACGTCTTAAGTGGAGACTTGATACAAGTAAGTTGGGAAACTGAAGAATACAGATTGTGGCATCTCCTCAGAGAAGCAGAAGCCACGATGACAACAGTCACGGCTGTTGGTGGCTGGTGTGCATTTCCACAAACACAGGTAGTTCCTTTTCTTTTTTTCTTTTTTCTTCTGTGGTTGTTGTTGTGGGAATCAGGAATTGAACTCAGGACCTCTTGCTTGCCAGGCAGGTGCTTAAACACACTTTGTAGCCCAAGCTGGCCTCAAACTCGTGGCAGCCCACCTGCCTCAGCCTCCTGAGTGCTGGGGTTACAGACCTGCGCCACCATGCGGCGATCTACAGAGGTTTTTGAGAGCTTGTTTGGAGGAACTAGCAGAGAAATGCAGCTGCCCATGCACTCTTGACCGGAAACGGAAATGCGCCTCCTTTCTGTGGGAGGTCCTCCGGTTAGACTGAGCACAGCTTCCGGGGACACCTATGCAGCAGGAGGGAGGAAGGGACGCGGCCCCGCCAGCCAGATCAGCCTGATCAACGCTGGCCACAGATTTGGCAGCCAGCTCTCCCTCACATCCCAACACAAGAGGTTTCTTTGTCCCTTGGGCTGTCTGCTTCATTTCAGTGTCATTTAATTCAGCACGTTATATGCTGTACGTGTATGCTTTGAACTAACACCGAGAGTTTATTTTAAAACAAGTGATCAAGGTTAACAGAGTCCACGGCTGGGCCAGGCTTACTGGGAAGCTGTCCACTGCCCGCAGCTCCGAGGACACTGCCTGTGGCTGCTCTGCCCTCCCCTTCGCTGCGCCTGCGCTGTGTTCTCCGGGGAGACCAAGGCGGCAGCATTACACCGCACTGTACTTATCTCAAAGCAGGTGAACTACACCGAGTGGGTGTCCTCAGGGCTGCACATCTCAAAAGATGGCAGTGTTAAAACTCAGACCGAGGAAGAGGAGATGACGTTACCCCATTCGGCACCGAAAGAGGAGGAATCCCCGCATCCTGTAAATGGTACTGTCTTTCTAAAACTCTAAGCTTCCTATTTAATCATTTTATTATTCTGTAACAAACAGTATTTACTGGCATTATCTTGCAGTGCAGTTTTTGGAAAATTAGTGTGTAAGCCCCTCGTCCTCACTGGTGAGAAGTGTGTTACCCAACCAGAACAGCACCTGCCCGCAAAAGTGTTTTCAGTGCATTTACAGCTAGCTTAGCTCCCAAGGGTTTGCAAAATGTTTATTTGGTGCAGGGTCCTATGAATTATGAAATAGGAAGATCGTGATTGGCTCATCTGTGGTCCTAGAGCATTATCTGTTTATTTTTGCAGTGCTGAGGATTGAACCCAAGGTCTTCACACTGAGCTACATTCCCAGCCCTTTTTATTTTTTGTTTTGCAGCAGGGTTTCTGAGATGCCCAAGCTGGGCTCAAACTTTTGATCCTCCTGCCTCAGTCTCCCAGACTGCTAATATTGGAACACTTGAAAGGGGTGACCTCACCAGCCACCAGGATTCCAGACTGGTGGGGGGAGAAACAGCAGGGGGAGGGAGGAGAAACAGATACAGTGCCGCACACCTGTGACCCCAGCCACTGGGAAACTGGGGAAGGGAATCAAAGGTTTGAGCCCAGCCTAGGTAATTTATCAAGACCCTATCTACAAACTGCAGCTTTAAAAGGGCCAAACATGTGCTGCAAAGGCCCTGGGGTCAGTCTCCATTAGCACAACGAAAGGGGCAGGGTGAGGTGGCTCAATGCACAGCTGGTAAATAAAAGTCCCAGGACCAGACAGTGGCTTGGAGCACAGGGCCTTTTTCTGCACCAAGCAGAGGGCTTTGGAACAATTCTGTGACTTTATCTCTTTCTCTAGTGGATCAAGAATCCTCTGAACAAGCTTCTGAAGCCAGCGAAGCACAGACTACTGACAGTGATGATGTGGTAGTGGCATCTGTGTATCAGAAGTACCCCAAGGCAGTAAGTACACTGGAAGAGTCAGTGCACTGAGACAAGTCTGCAAACTATGATCACTGGCTTCAGTGGTGCACGCCTGTAATTTCAGCTAGCCAGGAGGCTGAGGCAGGTAGATTGCAGATTTGAGGCCATCTGGGGCAACTTAGCAGGATCCTGTTTGAAAAATAAATAGAAGCTAGATAGATAGATAGATAGACAGATAGATGATAGATGGATAACTCAGTGGAAGAACACCCTTTGGTTGAATTTCCAGCACCACAAAACAAAACAAAAAAACAGTACAAATAATGACCGAGTGCTTAGTGGCCACGTATTTTAAAGTTCAAATCCAAGTTTAGTGAACTTCAAAGGAAACGCAAGTGTTTGAGTTATTTACATGTGAGTGGAAGTCTGCAGTACAGTTGATGAAATCATTTTCTTGCTTTGATGTGAATCTGATTTGCTACAAAGCTGGGTGTAGTGGCACATTTCTGTTATCCCAGCACTTGGAAGGCTGAGGCAGGAGGATTGCCAAGGAGTTCAAGGCTGGCCTGGACTACATAGCAAAACCCAGTCCCAAGCCTCCCTCCCCACACACAAAAAAAGAGAAACTGTTGCCTTAATTGATTAGAAGTCAGAATTTGTGTTGGGGAATTTTAGGAAAATAAAGAGTCTTGGAATATAGAGGAACCACTCAGAGCCAGTAGAGTTAGAGGTTTAATATGAGGAATAGTCACATTTTTTTTTTTTTTGGAACCAGGGAAATAGCCACTATTTTTTTTTCTTAACATTTATCTAACATAATTTTTTCTAAGAAATTTTTTCAAATCCATTTTATTTCAAAGAGAAAAAGAAAAGAAGGCAGCAACAAGGGTACATACATTGCTCATTGTCATCCCCAAATCATTCATCCAGAGCACAAGACATCTGCATTCATTGTCCAAACAATACCAGCACAAATCTTTCTCTTCAGTGACCTCAGAGAAATCAGTGGTGTAACTGTCTCATCTATCTTTTTGATATACCTATGTATACACGTATACATATATAATGTTTCTTTCAGCTTCTCACATTAATGAGACAACACAATATTTACATGTATGTCTGATTTATTTTACTTATGAGTGTGTTCTCAGGTTGCATCCATTTACCCATAAAAGTCTCAAGTTTATCTTTCTTTAAGGCTGAGTAGTACTCCGTTGTATAAAAATATCACATCTTTTTATCCATTCCTCAGTTAATTTAGGTTACTGCTGTAAACATGGGTGCACATGTATTGCTGTGGAATAATGTTCTTAATTCTTCTGTAAAATACCCAGAAGGGGAACAGCTGGTTCAAATGAGACTTCCAGTCCTAGCTTTTTGAGTAATCTTCATACTGATTTCCACAGTGGTTGCGCCCAGTCTACACTTCCATTGACAGCCTCTCCTGCGGTTCTTACTGGTTGATTTCTTTCTTTCTTCTTCTTCTTTTTTTTTTTTTTTGGTACCGAGGATTGAACTCATGACCTACTGCTTGCCAGTCTGGCACTTATACAACTGAGCTAAATCTATGGTATTTATATTTTATTTATTTCTTTTATCGGTATCGGGGATCGAACTCACGACCCCCTGCTTACAAGGCAGGTGCCTATGTCGCTGAGCTAAATCCCCAGCCCCTATTTGTTGATTTTTTGATACTAGCCATTCTTTTCGGGATGAAGTGAAATCTCAATGTTATTTTAATTTGCATCTCTCAAATGACCAGTGATGTTGAACATTTTTTCACATACTTATTTCCTGTTTGTATTTCTTCATCTGAGAAGTATGTATTCATCTCAGATGCCCAGTTTTGAATTGGGTCTTTAAATCTGGGAGGACTGATTTTTTTTTTTTAGTTATTTTTAGGTTATGAATACTAATACTTTGTCTGAAGAACAGCTGAAAACCATTTTCTCCCATGTTGTGGGTTGTCTCTTTACTCTGTAGGTATTTTGTCTTGCTGTGCAAAAGAGTCAGTAGGGTGAGATCCCAGTTGTTGATTCTTTGTGATAGTTCCTGTACAATCTGAATTTTGTTCATACAGTCTTTGCCTACACCAGTGTCCTCAAGAGTTTTACCAACTCTGTCTTCCAGCAGATTTATTGTTTCTGTTTTATATTAAGATCTTTGATCCATTCTGATTTTAGCTTAGAACATGATGAAAGCCATGGGTCCAGTTTTAATCTTTGACATGTGCGGAGCCAGTTTTTCAGCACCATTTATTAAAGAGACCATCTTCCTTCCAGTGAGTGTGTTGGCACCTTTGTGAAGGATAAGGTGGCTTAGTGTGTTTGGAGTTGTTTCTGCATCTCCTAATTCCATTGATCTTCAGGTCTGTTTTTTTTTTTTTTTTTTTTTTTTTTTTTTTTTTTTTTGTCAGTGGCATTCTGTTTGTATCACAGTAGCTTTATAGTATAATTCCAAGTCAGGGATTGAGATGCCTGCTGTCTTGTCTTTGTTGCCCAGGATTGCCTTTGCTATTCTAGTTTTCTTCTGGTTCCAGATGAATTTTAGGATAGTTTTCTCTAATTCTATGAGCTATGCTATTGGAAGTTTCATTGGGATTGCGTTGAATCTGTATAACAGTTTTGGAAGTATGGCCATTTCACTATATTGGTTCTTCCCACCAAGAGCACAGGATGTCTCTCCATTTTCTAAGATCCTTTTCAGAGTACTGTAGTTTTCAATGTAGGGTTCTTTTACATCCTTATTTAGATTGATTCCTAGGTATTTCATTTTTTTGGATGCATTGTAAAAGGTGTTGTTTCCCTATTTCTGTCTCAGTGAGTTTGTTATTCATGTACAGGAAGGCTTTTGATTTTTGAGTATTGACTTTGTAACCTGCTACATTACTGAATTTGCTTGTTAAATCTAGAAGTTTTTGGGTGGGTTTTTTTGGGTCTTATCAGTAGAGTATCACGTCATCTGCAAATAAGTATAGTTTAGGGGCGGGGGATTTAGCTCAGCGGCATAAGCGCCTGCCTTGCAAGCAGGCAGTCATGAGTTCGATCCCTGGTACCGATAAAAAGGAAAAAGACAAAAAAAAAAAAAAAAAAACCCTGATAACTATAGTTTAACTTCTTCCTTGCCTATCTTTATTCCTTTTATTTCTTTCTGTGGTCTAATTACTCCAGCTGCAGTTTCCAGGACTCTGTTGAATAAGAGTGGAGACAGTGGACATCCTTGTCTTGTTCCTGATTTTAGAGAGATAGTTATTAGTTTTTGTTTATTTAATAACCAACATAATTTTTAAAGAGATTATGTTGTTGATATTTGGGGAAACCACAGACAGATGAGAGCCCCAAGGTGTTAGAATTGGGCAACACCTTGCTGTGAGTGGTGGTGCACCCTGTAACCCCGGCACTCTGTGAGTTCTAGACCAGCCTGGGCTACATAGCAAGACCCTATCTCACAAAAATGAAATAGCAACTGAAAGAATTGGACAGCAGCTTAGCTGTCCTAAGGAGAAGCCAACTGAAGGATATGTAGAGGGTTGCGGGTTAGGGAGGGAGCTGGGACTCCCACCGAGGTCTCTAACTGCTCATCTCAGGTTCTGTCCCAAATGCAGCCAGCTGATCAGCAAAGTTTTGAACCATTCGATGTCAGTCTGCTCACAATAGAAGTTTCACCCTAAACTAAAGCCTTCTAAATAAAATTTCCTTTTAGAAAAAACACTTTGCTTGCTTACTTACTTATTTCGAGACAGGTTCCCCTCTGAGGTTCAGGCAGGCTTTGAATTCACTAGGTAGTCCAGGGTGGCCTCAAACTCACAGCCATCCTCGTGCCTTAGCCTTTCAGGTGTCCACCTTTACACAGCATCTTCAACCCCACATAAGCAATGGATGAATGGCTATGGAGAGCCACAGTCCTCAATCTTTTTAAAATTAATTAATTTATTTATTTTTTGACTTTTGAGACGGGCTCTTGCTTTGTAAATCAGACTGGTCTTAAACTCACTATGTAGCCCAGACTGGCAAAGAACTTGAAATAATCCTCTTGCCTCAGCCTCCAGAGTGCTGGGACTACAGGTGTGTGCTACCACACTCAGCCTGAAATGTACATTTTTAAAACTAATGTGTGGAAGTCTATTCATATCAATATATTTTGCTGCTTTCTTTCCTTGACTTAGACGGAACTCTATTGGGCAATCTTGATTGAACTTTATGTTGTATGCTTTGATACTTACAGCTCACATCATCCTCCCAGCAGCCCTTCGTTCTCTGTGTAGTAGGGCACGCCTGTCCCATCCGCCAGGCCCCTTGGCTACAGTCTGACTGGGTCTTTCCCCTCTGGGCTCTTACATTCCACTCAGGAAAAACAGATCAGCCTCACTCAGCAGACAGGCAGATGGCTGAGACTAAAGTGCTGTGAAGCGAATCGCCTCAACATGGGTGATGATGGCAGGGGTCACATTAGGGAAGTGGGGAGAAGAGACTTTTCTGAGGGGAGTCGTTTCCACGGATCTGAAGCATGACACCATGAGACCACAGGGCTGCCTGTCTGCTGCGTAGGAAATAGACTCTGGGAGGGAAGAGTTTGCTTTATCTCAGGTGAGGCGGATGAAGAGAACAGTGACGTTCCTTTTGATCACATAGGTATTACTGCCCCTCCTCTCCGAGACAGTGGGGCTGGGGAGAAGAGGCTTGCTCAGGTGATGTTTATGTTTGGGTGCTGAGGACCAAATGCAGGATAGTGCGCACACTAGGCCTGCACTCTGCACATCTGTGTGTCAGGCCTTGTGCCACCTGAGAACACTTGAGTCCTGACCCTGAGGAGACACTGTCCTGCGGCTTAGGGATCTGAGGAATCCTGCGTTCATCTGTTAGTGATCAGGAAACATAGCGTTCAGTTATAATTGCTGCCTGTGGTCTGGAAGGCAGCACGCTTGCCTTGGCTTGCAGATGGGGTGGGGAAACCCCAAGGAGATCTGACTGATCCCTCAGCAGATGCCTGGTAGGTAAAGAGAGAGAGCAAGAGAATTCTAGAGAAGTAGCTTTTTCTTTTTCTTTTTTTTTTTTTTCTTTTTTTTTTTTTTGTCTTTTTTGTTTTTATCGGTACCAGGGATCGAACTCACGACTGCCTGCTTTCAAGGCAGGCGCTTATGCCACTGAGCTAAATCCCCAGCCCCGAGAAGTAGCTTTTTCTACCTTCTGCTGAATCTGTTACCATAGGGTCCTGGACAGGATGCTAGGTTCTTGTGCATGGCAAACAATAAATTAGACATGGCACGTGATGGTAAGGAAAAGGTAGCTAGGTTTAGTTAGGTGTTGGTACACTTAGAGTGAGTGAGCTTGTACCAGCCGAAAGGAAAAAAGCACGAGAGCTGAAGGCTTTGGTTTATGGATTTAAAATATTGCACCAGGTAGCGGAGTATGGTGGTGCACACCTGTTATCCCAGCACTTAGCAGGCTGAGGCAGGAGAATTGCCTTGAGTTCAGGGACAACCTGAGCTGCATAGTGAAAACACTTCCCCCAAAAATGTTGTGACAAGTCCAGGGCACCTCCCACTGGGGATTCCACTGCATGATTAACACCGTGATTGACAGGATGCTAAGTCATTCATGTCTGTCCCGTTTACTACGCATTCCCTCCCCCATATTTCACTCTGTTAAGCTGGACATGTGAGATGCATTTCATATGCATGAACCTTCAGTGAGCTCCAAGTGAAGAAAACTTATTGTAGATCGGACCAGAGAATGCAGCACACATGTGTCCTGGTTTTGGGACGTCATAATTCAGGGTAGGCTCAGGAGCCTTTTTATTGTTTCCTTATCTCTGCATCCTGGACAGAGGCTGGAGGTTGGTCCTGAAGCATTTGTTGCCCAGGCTCAGGTGAGTGCGGGGAGTGATCCAGTAGCCCCGCCGTACAACCTCCTGTGTGCCAGCAGCTCTGGCATGTCCACATCTCACTGCCCTCTCCCCAGACTCAAGTCAGCAGCAGCCCTTGTGCGGATCGCTGCAGCCTGCCTCTGACTGGCTTCCCCTCTACAGTCTGAGGGATCTTTGCAAACCTGAGTGAGATCTTGTCACATCTCTCCTCAGAGCCTTCTGCCAGCGTCCTGGCTGTGTGGTCCCACACGACATGGCCTGGGTCCACCTACGGTTTTGGTCTGCGGGGATCCCCTGTTCCCAGCACTGTGGCCTCAGGCCTGCTGGAACCACAGGGCAGGCCTCTGCTGGGCACCTGGCACTTCCCCCTCACTCTTCCTGTCCCTTGCTTGCTTTCTGGAGGTCTTGCTTATGCCACGCACTCACCACAGGGCTCTTCCCTCACTCTAGCTGAAGGAGTCATGCCCATCCCCATCCAGCACCCTTATTAATGAAAATCTATCAAATTTTTCTTCACATTACCACCTGTCTTAGTTACTTTACTTTTTACTAGTTGCTGAGACAAAATACCTGATACCCAAAGTTGGGAAAGGAAAGGTTTATTTCTTACAGTTTTTGGAGGTTTCAGTCCACGAAGATAGTAGCTAGGTGTGGGGATACATGCCTGTACATGTGTGGTACATGCTGGACTACGTGGTGAGACCATGTCTTAAAAGAAGATGGAGGGGGAAGAGGGGGAAGAGAAGAGGGGAGAAGGTGATGGAGGAGGGGGGAGGGGAGGAGACATGAGTTGCTGGGACGTGGAATTGGGGTTCTCTTTATGAACTTCCTGTAGACAGGTGGTGGGGATTCAGTCTCCCCTCCCTGCCAGGCTGAGCTATGAAAGGTCCTCAAGGGATGCAGCTTTGATTGGCTGTTAGAGCAGTGGGATCACTCCAGGTCTCACTAACCTCTAAGAACACATGTTTTCCCCGCCAGGATTCAGAGAAAATGTGCATCGAAGTTGTCTCCCTGGCCTTCAACCCAGAGGCCGAAGTCATGGCTGATGATAACGTAAAGCAGGTGTACGTGGAGTACAGGTTTCATGATCTGCCCCTGTCTGAGACAGAGACGCCGGTATCCCTGCGGAAACCGAGGGCAGGAGAAGAAATCTACTTCCACTTCAGCAAAGGTGAGGCAGCCCCGTGGCCGGCAGGCTGAGGAGCCTGATGCAAACTGAAATTCGCATTTCTGATGAGGGTGTATCCAATCTTTCTTCTTCAAATTGTGGCACGGGGAGAAGGGACTAGGGCCTTACCTAGGTTAGCATCAGTGATGAACTCTTTCCCCAGGCTGAATCCAACCATTTTATCTTATTACATTAGTACTGCAAAAATAATATATACATTTGCCTGCTTGTTTTCTTTCTTTCTGCAAATACTTGCTCAATTATATTTAATTTTTAAATTTTTACCAGTACATGTGTAATACATATCGATCACACTCATCGTGAGCCTTGGAACATGCACAGGACATGTCTTGTTTTTCTTCTTCCCTCTCTCTGCCTTTCATTTCTTGATTCCCTTCCCATTTTCAAAAGACCCATTTTAACAGATCACATTTGGGAGTAGCTTTTATTCTATTTTATTGTTGATTGGTTTTCTGACACAGGGTCTCACTGCATCCCAAGCTGGCCTCCAACTCGATGTGATCCTCCTGCCTCAGCCTCTGGGATTACAGGCATGTACCACCACACCCAGCTAGAGTAGCTATTAAAGAAATCCATATTTGAAGTAAATATTTTGAGAAATTTACACATATAATCCCTTTTTTTCATCGTCATATTCACTTGATAAGTGTGGACCAATAAAGAGATTTCTTTTAAAAGATTTTCACACAAAGTTTCATCTGCCTCCCTAGCACAGTGGACAGTCTGTCAGTCTCATAATCTGAAGGTCCTGAGTTCAAACCTCAGAGGGGGCAACTCAGTTTTAGCCAGGCACAGTATTAGCAAGCTTCTGCCTCAAAAAAAAAAAATAAATAAAGTAAAAAGTTAAAAACAAAAATTTAAGTAGTTGATGTATGTTCTAGATCCAGGCAAAATGTCTCAACTTTTTATGAAATCTACCCTTACCCTCACTAAAGGACTTCAATAGTGTTTCTTTACCTCTAGTGTTCCCAAGTTCCAGAAAAGTTTGCATACTTGATTTTTTTTTTTTTCTGGCCACTCAATGGGTCAGCAAATCTGAAAACTCATGGCTTTTATCTCTGAAATATTTCATTTTTAGGGGCTGGGGATTTAGTTCAGTGGCATAAGCGCCTGCCTTGCAAGCAGGCAGTCGTGAGTTCGATCCCTGGTACTGATAAAAACGAAAAAGACAAAAAAAAAAAAAGAAATACTTCATTTTTATTTCTGTTTTTTGAAACAGGTAGCCTTGAACCATGAATTCACTATGTAGCCCAGGATGGTTTTGAATTTCAGTGATCGTCTTACCTCAGCCTCCCAAAATCCTAGGATTACATGTGTGCACTGCCCTGCGTGGCTTTTGTTTCTTGAAACAAAGTCTTCTTTTGTTGAATTCCAGGTTGGTTTTGAACTCACTATTGTAGTCCAGACTGCCTCTGAACTCATGGTGACCTTCTTGCCTCAGCCTCCTCTGTGCGAGGTTTACAGGTGTACATTACTGTATCTGCCTAAAGTTTGGGAAATGTAATTTTCTTTCATTTAGTAATTCTATTCCCAACATTTTCTTAGTCAAATTTTGGGTCATAAAAATTGATATTTTGCCTATGTTTCCTTTGTACTTTTTATTTATTTTACTTTTTTTTTTAATACCAGGAATCAAACTCAGAACCTCATGCTTGCCAGGCAGGTGCTATGCCACTGAGCTAGATCCCCAGCCTCTTTTTAATTTTTGAGAGATTTCCTTTTTCCCCTGTGTTAATTTTTTATTTATAAGGATTTCCTTTGTTTTCTAGTCATCATCCAAAGACTTAGGTTTCTGAGAGCTGCTCTTTGTTCTCCATTCCTTAAAACAAAACACAAAAAAAATTGGCTGCTCATGTCTGTAATTCCAGCACTCTGGGAGGCTGAGGCAGGAGGATTGCATGTTTTAGCTCAGCCAGAGAAATTTAACAAGATTGTGTCAAAAATATAAAAAAAGAACTGAGAATTTAGCTCAGTGCAATGGCCCTGTTTTCAGTCAGCAGTGTTACAATACATAATATATAAAATAATTTAAAAATAAATGTTGGTATATCCCTGCCGTTGTGTGGAAAAAGCTGCTTTCTCACTTGGGCAAGAGAAGTTACAAAATGGGCATCAAGGCCGAGGCCTGTGGTGCTGTGGGAGAGCAGAGTTCCTGCCTCATCTTCCCGTCTTCCTGGGCCATCTTCCTGGTTACCTCAGGGTTCCTAGTGGCTGCAGTGAGGAGAAAGTTGCCAAACCTGAGCAGCTCACCTGAGGTCTCAAGCGGCACCATGGCCAGGGCCTGGTCCTGTGGCCCTCGGCAGCTAAAAAGGAGGCTGGGAGCGCGGATGAATTTATTTAAGGCTGCCATTTTCCCATAGGTGAAAAGAGACATCAGTGCTGGGACAGGTGCCCTGATGGGAACATAGCACAAAACCTAACCTTCGGCCGCTCCTCGAGCCAGGGTGGCTGCACACATCTGTAATCCCGGCACTCTGGGAGGCTGAGGCAATTCAAGCCCAAGCTGGGCAATTTAGTAATTTAGTGAGATTCCTATTCAAAATTAAAATAAGAGCCGGGGATGTAGCTTGGTGCAGAGCCCCTGGGTTCAAACACGAGTATGGAAAAAACAAAACAAAAAGAGCGGCAACAAAATTCTATCAGCTGTGGAATGGTAGGAGCACGTTTTAGCACATGGATTATGTGGTTTCAATCTGATGATACAATTTCTTTTATGACCAACGTTTCCTTTTCTTTTGGTTTTTTGAGACAGGATCTCACTAGGTAGTTCAGACTGGCCTCAAACTCGCAGCAATCCTTCCGCTGCAGCTCCTGAATGCTGAGCTCACAGGCCCGCACAGAACAGTAGATAGTCAGGCTTTGTGGGCCTGGGTCCATCACAATCCCAGCTGCTCCACTGTGCTGCTGTAGTTTGAAAGCAGCCTCGGGCTGGGGGTGCAGCTCTGAGGCAGTGCATATGGTTAGCATACAGGAGGCCTTGCTTTGACCTGCCGTATTAAAACTAATACAGCACCCCAGAAGATATGCACTTGGATGGAGAGAGGTGTGCTTAATCAAATTTTATTCACAAAAACAGGGAGCCGGCCCACGGGCCTAGGGGCCAGCCTCTTCTTTAGGGCACTGCTTTACGTGCGGCACTCACGGAAGTCTCTGCCTTTTTCTCTCAGTGATTGACCTGGACCCTCTGGAGCAGCAAGGCCGAAGGCAGTTCCTTTTTGCTGTGCTGCAGGCGCAAGACCCAGAGCAAGGACAGTACGCATCCATCTTCCACTTGGAGGGAGAGTAGGCATTGAGTCAGGAACTCAAAAGTGGGAACTGGGGGTGGTGGTGCATGGCTGTGATCCTAGCATTTGGCAGATTGAGGCAGGGGGCTCACTGCAGGTTCGAGGCCAGCCTGAGAGAATTTGTCTCAGAATGAAAGCAAACAAGGATGGTGCATACCTGTAATCCTGGTGTGTGGGAACTCTGAGTTTAAGGCCAGCCTGGGCAACACAGTGAGTTCAAGGCCACCTGAACAGCCAGAGCAAAACCTGATCTGCTCATGCCTGGGGCTTGTTTGTGACAGTAATTCTTGGGGGGGGGGGGGAGAGGAATTGAACTCACAACTTAACACTTACCAGGCAGGTGCTTACACCATTGAACTAAATTCCTGGGCCCTCAGCAATCCTTTATATACACTTTTGGCTTATTTCTTACTCTGGCCAGCCCGCACTTTCACTTTTCCCCACTGCTGTGCTAGGCCAGGGCCCAGTGCTCTACCACTGAGCCACACTCCTGCCCCAGGAGTAATTTTGGGGCACTTTACACGAATCTTGACAGAGCCCTCCATGACATGGACAGATTGCTTTGAGTGAGATAATTGGTCCACTTCTCACACATGCAGAAGCACTGAGTTTACTAAGTAAGAAATTATTGTGCCTTCATAATTTCACTTTGCATTAAGATTTTAGATATTCTTTCTTGGGGCTGGGGATTTAGCTCAGTGGCATAAGCACCTGCCTTGCAAGCACACAGTCGTGAGTTCAATCCCTGGTACCGAGAAAAAAAATTTTTTTTTTCTTTACAGGAATAATTTGATGCTATAACTAAGTATAAATTTTAGCTCATTTAAAATGTTAGGAAATGTGATTATCTTTATTAATCCTATAAGGTTGTTAGGATGCCTTTTACAGTTCTGAGATAATTAATCCATGAGACTTAACCTAAAAAAAAATATCGTTTGGTTGAACTTTGAGTGTGTGGTGATGCATGCCTGTAATCCCAGCACTCCAAGGCTGAGGCAGGAAGATTGCTGTAAATTTGAGACTAACCTGGGCTACACAGTGAGCTGAAGGCCAGGCTGAACTGCGTAAGGAGATCCTGTCTCAAAAACTCCAAAAAAAAAAAAAAAAAAAAAAAAAAAACAACCCAAAATTAAGCGTGTGTATCGTTTTGGAATCTGGGAACACCTCCTCTTTGTATATGGGTTAGAAATGACATGGTTGGTGTTTTCCTGTATTATTTTCTTTGGGGCCAATACTTTATTTAATCTGCTGTTGCTTTACCTCTGGAGTTAGTCATAGAAGGGACTGAGAAAAGGAGCCAGTTGAAATGACTCTGACTTCAGGGTCCTGTGGGCTCCCACAGATAACACGTTAACAGGCAACGTGAACATGGAAAGTGATTTGGCCATTTTCTGTGCCAATATTTAGTTTTTAGCTACTTTTTAATTTTTAGCATTCCTAGGACACCATCCTCCTTTATGGCCTTACAGTGGTATTTCTTTTCTAACCAAGTTTAAGTAATTTTTTTTCTACTTTTTATGTGGTGCTAGCAATTTAACCCAGGGCCTCCCTCCTGCATAGCAAGCAGGTTTCTCTACCACAGTCACACCCTAGCCCTCCACTGAGTTTTACAGTTGGTCTTACTGGGGTAGGGGTAGGGGTTGTTTTGAGGCTGGCCTTAACCTCTAGCTGGCATTGACTTTTCCTGCCTTAGCCTCCCTGACACTGGGGTTCCAGACATGCACCCCCATAGCTGGTGTGTTTCTTTGCTTTTTGAGGTCGATAGGCAGTTCAGGCTGGCCTTGAGCTCAGGTCATCCTCCTGCCTCAGCTCCCTGAGTGTTGAGGTTATATGGATCAGCGTGCTTGGTTTGAGTTTTGCTGCAGTCAGCTGCATTCTGAGCCTCTATTCCCTTGTTATGGCCTGTTGCTATTTAATTAAAATTATACAATCTCTCACTTTATTTTGTTGTTCATTTATAAAGTGGAGGAAGTGAAAGGTGATTTACGGGAGACACTTTTATAATTACTTTTTAAAGCACAAGGGATTGTGTCTAATTAAATGGATTTTCTATTTTTAGCTTAAAGTTTACGGTAGTAAGTGATCCTATGGATGAAGACACAAAAGAATGCGAAGAAGTAGGATATGCATATCTTGAACTGTGGCAGATCCTGGAATTTGGAAGAGACATTGTAGAGCAAGAGCTAGAGAGTGAGTAATGAAATTTCCATTTATTTCTAAAGAAAAACATCCTAATAGTAATTGCTGTTTTATCTTTAAAACATAATTATCACTGTAAAACTGACAAAATGCAAACAGGATTGAAGTATTTTACCTGCAGCTATATGTCTTTTCTGGACTCGGCATCACGTAGTCAACTGCTGCCAGCTGTGGGGCCCAATCTGTAACCATAGCACTTGGCAGACTGCTGCACTCAGGCCACATTGAGCTATGCAGTAAGACCCCTTCTCAAAGCCACTTGTGTATCTTAGCGGTCCTCTATCACCCCACTGTGAATCTACTTTAAGGGACACCTTGCTCCTGCCCTGGTATTAAAACCCAGGGTCATAGTACTGAGCTGCATCTCCTTTTCCTTTCTTCAAAATTTTGGGACAGGGTCTTACTAAATGGCCAGGCTGGTCTCAAAACTCTCAGTCCTCCTGCCTTGGTTCCCGAGTGCTGGGACTACAGATGGGCACTGTGGCGCCCGGCTTCGAAGCACCCTTTCCTGCAGCACTCTGAGATGACGAGAATGAGAGGTGTGAGTGTTTAAATGAACACTGCTACCACCTGAGCCTTTCTTTCCTTCCCACAGTTGTCAGCCCCCGAGACCAGGATGTGGTAATAGGAAGGCTGAAGGTGTCCCTGCAGGCAGCCGCGGCCCTCCACAGCATTTACCAGGAGATGACGGAGTATGTGCTGTCCTGAAGGGTCAGCGCCCTCCACTCTGCAGTCTGAGGGAACCACAGTGAAGTCCTGTGTGAAGTAACCTGCCATACACTAGGTGTGTTTGCTGGAATATCCACACTTCTCAGCCTAAGAATGAAGTCTAGAATGGTACTAATTGGACAAAGGCATTTTCTTTGAACATTTTGGTGTTTTACCAGGTGAGAAGCAGGGTTCATTTCACGGACTGCAAAGGAATGGTTACAAAAGGCAAGTTTACAAAAACAAAGCTAACAAAAACCCCACAGTTTATTTATCTTTTAGTTTTTCCAAAATTGAAAATATCAAGTCCTACAGCTAAGGAGAAAAAAACAAACAAACATAAAATCTGAGCACCCTCCCCCCTTTCTCTGAAGCCATGGACACGGAAGGAAGTGCAGGGGGTGGGCGGGCGCAGAGAACCAGGAGGGAGGAGGGCAAGGAAAACTCCCTGCACCTAAAAAGCCGGTAAACAGAAAGTGATAAATACAGGACACTGGCAGGGTAAATAAAATGGGGCAGCAGGGCAGAGGCTGTGTGGTGGATACGGCCTCCCGTCCCTTTCTTCTCTCCTCAGGCAATGCTAGGCCCAAGGCACGATCTGCCCCAGATTGAAATCTTGACTGCCCCAGCCTCCCTCTAGATTTCACCTAAAGTAGTGAATGAGGCACACAAACCATTTTTCCTTTGATATATCAGAAAAGAGAAATTGGTCATTTTGCCTTCTATCACTGTATCATGTGTAATTTTTAAGAAAGTGCCGAGGCAGGGAGTGTCACTGCTTCATATGTTTCTAAGGTGGCAGAAATACCTCGGAATCTGCATGAGCCAGTAACCAGGAAACCTCAGATGAAGGCACCAGCCCAATCTGCCTCATAAGCTCAGACCATATGGGTCACGTGATCATTAGCAACTCCTAGGAACCTTTGCTTGAATATTGCAAAGATGGAACATAGGACACGGGAGGAAGGTCCCGGCTGTAGGGTAAGATGAGGACTGAATCTGCTGGTCAAGAACCACAGGACAGGTGACTAAGGTCACCTTGTACCACTGTCCTGGAAATACAGCTTTGAGGCATCAGAGATGTCGGCAGCCATCGCTGTCCTGGCAGAAGATGACAGAAGAGCGGAATGAATGGTGTTTATTAACAGTGGGAGCCTCCACCCTTCTTCAAGAGCACTTCCTCCCCTGCCATCTGAACGGGGCCATTGACGCATGTCCTGGTGGTCCTGGATTCCCCGAGTAGATTGGTCCACACAAATGGCCCCCTAAACCCATAAACACAAATGGCAAAACTTCAAAGAAAATGAAAGGAAAAAGCCCAGTTTCTATGTCATGTAAAATTTTCTGGAGTTGGCTGGAGGAAGAGTGGAGCTCAGAGCTAAAGTCCAGGGGTTACTTCCTCTTTTTCTTGGGAGGTGCAGAGCTGTGTCTAGAACCCCGGTTGGAGCCTCGGCCTGAACTGTGCACAGACGCCTTCCGCTTCCGGCTCATACTTCGACTCTGTTCCTCTTCTTCCTCATAGCGACTTTCACGGTCAGCTACATGGAATGAAGAGGTGTTATCAGTTAGCTTTAGTCACCTACTATTTCTGGCTGGCATATAATATCATGGAGAATCCATTCAGTTTCTAGTTATGTGACCCTAGGCAAGTGCTTAAATTTTCTGAGCCTTGGTTTACTGATTTATAACACAGAGATTTACGTAAGGAATTAAAGAAGCTATTTTGTGCTAGGTACCTACCATGTCATTTGGGATAGGTCAGGTAATAAACTTCCTCTTCATCTTTAACTTGTGTTTACAGTTTGGTTTCAGAGTAACTACGTAGGGACTAGCACTATACTGACACACCTAACTTGGAATCTTACATAATTACATGATATCTTGGTTCTAGGCATGCTAGAGGCTTAGACTGGGAAAAAAGCACCCACCTAGGCACTCATGCCTTACACTTGAGAGTTTAAGGACACATTCCAGACCTAATTTCTCCTTTGGTCAATGAAGTTACAGGTGTGGCTTAGTATCAGATTTACAGTGTTTTTTGTTATCTCATTAGGCTACTAATATTAAAACCTCAAAATATACAAATGTGTCAGAAACTTCTTCCTGTTGCTCAAGTTGAACTCAAACTCCAATCTTCTTGGTCTTAGCCTCTAGTTCTGGGATTACTGGCATGCACTACCATGCCTGGCTAGAAATTTATACATAAATAAATGGGTAAGTGTAACAGGCCAAACAAAAGCAACAAAATCTTTTAACCTTTTCGGGCTTCTTCTTCCAGTTCATCCCAGTCTTTCCCACTTTCTTCTTCACTACCCAGGGATTCCTTTGAGTAGTCTGGAATAACAATGATTACGAGTAAAGTCATGCAGGAATGGATGACGTGATTTTTCTCTTTGCAAAAATAGTTCCAGAAAGAAAACTAGATTAGGGAGCCATGACAAATTTTTTGTTACAGAGACTAACCTGATTCCTCTGCTTCTGATGAATAATCTTCATCGCTGTCTTCCTCTTCCTCTTCATAGTCATCCTCTGAAGGATTGAAAGTCTCATCTTCGATTTCAGACTCTGAATCCCCTTCCTCAGCATCACTCCCCTGGGTAAGATAGAGTGCAATACTATTTATTTATTTTACTCTCATTTATAGCAAATTAGTCCATCTAGTATCTATAGTACTATATACTATCTATAGTATCTATAGTACTACCAGCACTTTACATGGAAAAAACAAAAACCCTGAATGACCAAAAGACTAGTTTCATTACTGGTAAGGTATAGTCATCATACCCTTCAACATCTAATTTCTTAATTCTTTTCTGTTTTTCCCTTTCCTTTTTTGTGCTGGCAATTGAACCTAGGAGACCTGCACAGACCAATCTGTATTGTGAAAGGATTGTTTTCTCCTTCTTTGCTAAGAGAAATTAAGGACAGAAGGCAGGCAGGCACTTATGCCACTGAGCTAAATCCCCAACTTGAAAGATTATAAAAATGCAAAGTACTTTTTGTGACATGCCCTAAATCTGTCCCCCATACTAAGAAACTCAGTAAAGACGAGTTTATACAATCAACGAACTTCCTTGTCAGTGGCTACCAATGCCCCATCAATTTATCATTTAGTATAAACATGTCAAGCTGTGATTCAGAGTTTGCAGTCTCAGCTGTTCATGGATTCTTCCTTACAACCCAACTAGCAACTGTTCATGGAAACACCCGCAATTTAGCGAAAACCACAAATACCCTCCACAGTCGTTCTTTTGGCAGGAGGTTTCCAAGTAGTTGTGGAGTGCTATTCAGTTCTCCTTGCTGGCGGGCAGCTGCCCTGTGACCACTTTTGGCAGATGCTCCAGCATTCCTATGTCATGACAGACTGCTGTACTAAGACCCTAAGTTCCCTGAGATGCAGCCAAAATGCCCTGCATCTTCTAAGTATTTATTAAATTAAATAATGTAGTAGCTGAAGACATAGAATATTTAGGGTTTAAACTATAAAAATATGCATTTTTCTGACTGTATCTGCAATTTTCAGTTTTGCACAATTTGTGGGTGCTCTAGGAACGGAATCCTTGCCAACTTGCTGGGTGCACTGTACCCCTAAGAGCACTCTGAAGACATGGCTGTTCAGCGGCTCTTCAAGCTGCCCTGCCCTGTACCATCCCTGTGTCATTCTGCAACTGCCCAGACAGCAGCAGGATGCACTGTATCCCACACTCACGCACCTCACCCTCAGGTTCCAGGAAAGACCAGCCACCCTGCTCAAAGAAGCCCTCAGGGTCATCCACAATGGTCTTCATGATTTTGGTCCAGTTGAGGGACTGTACTCCTTCGGTGTACTTTAGGTCACAGGAACTGAGAGAAATGACATTATGAAATCAGCATCAATCTTCTGTATTTTGGGGAATGTTCAGTATCACTCACCTTGGACATCAGCATGCCTGCGGAACACATAATCCTTCCCTGATAGGGGAACAGATGCTCTTTGCTCTGTGCCCCCCACGTGTGCCCACCTGGCTACCTCTTCTCCCTCAGCACAAACCCTGGGAACAGAGCCCACTTCGGCTTCGTAATCCGTCCCTCAATTGAGTCTAAGCTCACTGACTTCCTTATTTCCATTTTCCCTTTAAACATCAATTTCCCAGCCCTTCATTTAGTCTTTGTTCTTCCTTCTCCATGCTTTCCCCTCTCTTCACTGATTCCATACTTATTGGTGAGTAAGTTGAACTCACAACTACTTCTGGGACTCATATGTTGCAGCTCCAATCATTCACTCCACTATAATTAAGAAATAGGGACAATTTTTAGTGGTCCTAGATTTCCCTCCTCAAAATTCCACTGTTTTATTATCTCTTATTTATTTGACAAAAGGTCTGTTTGAAGTCCAAGGCGCATTAAAAAAAAGGTAAAAGTTTAAGTAACTTTTCACTCACTGCCATTGATTAGCTAAAATAGATAAGGATGAAACCACACATGTGTGAATAGGGAGTGTGGTAAGAGGATAAAATGGCCAGAGAATACAATCCTTGAAAAGTGGAAAGCAAGGTTTTGTCCCACAATTGCCCCTGTTTTCTGTATGGAGGCAATTCTCAGGCTGTGTTGAAGTGTGGAACACAAGGAGCTAAGAAACAGAGTTTGTGGGCTGGGGATTTAGCTCAGCGGCATAAGCACCTGCCTTGCAAGCAGGCGGTCGTGAGTTCGATCCCTGGTACTGATAAAAATGAAAAAGACAAAAAAATGAAAAAGACAAAAAAAAAAAAAAAAAAAAAAGAAACAGAGTTTGTGGAGATTGGGACATTTAGAATTTGTGGGATGCAGTAGCGGAGCAGAGTTACATGGGAAAGAAGTTCTTTAGCTGAGGCCTGATCTACACACATGACATGAATCTGCATCTGGGTAAGCAGTGGTCCAGATAAACCCTATGTTTCACACACAACTAAAAATAAATCCTGTTCCCAGTACTTTCTTTGAAAAGCCCTCACAATGCACAGTGCCTCAGATAGCCCCCAGAAGAGAGTCATGTCAACAGTGAAGCCAGTCAGCTCCAGAACAAAGGCTTTTAAACCCATACTACTAAGGACATCTGAAAACAAGCCTTAAAGCACTAAGAGAATCCAAATAATATAAATAATAGAATATACAATATTCAAAAAGACAGCACCCAGAATGTGGAGTTATAATGTTTGGCAACTGATCACAAATTATCAGGCACACAAAGAATCAAGAAAGCGGGGCTGGGGGTTTAGCTCAGCGGCATAAGCACCTGCCTTGCAAGCAGGCGGTAGTGAGTTCGATCCCTGGTAATGATAAAAATGAAAAAAGACCAAAAAAAAAAAAAAAAAAAAAAAAAAAAATCAAGAAAGCCAGGTATGGTGGTGCATGCCTGTAATCCCAGTACTTGGGAAGCTGAGGTGGGAGGATACACAAGTTTGAGATCAGGCTGAGCTATATATAGCAAGTCCTTATCTCAAAAAACAAAACTAGTGGGCTGGGGATTTAGCTCAGCGGCATAAGTGCCTGCCTTGCGAGCAGGCAGTCGTGAGTTTGATTCCCCGGTACCGATAAAAAGGAAAAAGAAAAACAAAAAAAAACCAAAAAAAAAACAAAAACCCCAAACCAACCAACCAAACAAATCAATCAACAGGGGCTGGGGTAGCTCAGTGGCGTAAGTGCCTGCCTTGCAAGTGTGAGGTAACGAATTCGATCCAGGTACCACCTTAGAAAAAACCCAAGAGACTGTCTAGGTCTGACCCAGAAAATACAAAGATGGAGAAACAGACAAGGATGTTTTAAAAAGTTATTATAAATATGCTCTACATGTTCAACATGGAAGACAGAAACTTGAACATGAGAAAAGTGAAATACATAGTTTCAGAAAAAAAATGAAGGGACGGGGACTCAGGAAAAAGCAAAAAATACTTGAAGCACAATGGCCTGAACATTTCCAAATGTGAAAAAAAAACCTATAGTCATATATTTAAGAAGAAGAATGATTATCAAGGAGTAAATAAACAAAACTAAACAAAAGCACCTACTAACCAAACTGCTCAAAAATTCAATGATGATTACAAAAATCTTGAATCAACTGAGGAAAAAAAATGACAAGTGGTACAAAGGAAAAAAGTGGCAGATTTCTCCAGACTCTCTGCAAGCCAGAAGCTAACAGAGCAACATTAGCTGGGTGTGGTGACACACACTGTAATCCCAGCACTCTGGGAAGCTGAGGCAAGAGGTGGCATGCTGGCATCTAGCCAGGGTACTTCAGCAACTAAATGAGACCTTGTCTCCAAAATAAAAAGTAAAAACGGCCAAAATGTAGATCAGTACGAAGGCCCTGGGTTCAATCCCTAGTACAGGGATGGTAAGGGCAGATGGTATAATTTCCTGAGAAAATACTTCCATGGGTGAAAATCATTGAAGCAAGTGTTACTTTTTTGTTGGCACACACTTGCAGTACATAGGGATCACACTCATTGTGGGGAGCAACAATCTTTTAAATATTTCAAGTTTGTCAGTTTAGAATTCCATACTCAGCCAAATCATCTTGCCAAACTGGAAGTGGAATAACACTTCTCAAAAAGCTGAGGATGGGACATGAGAAAACCTTCATCTCCAATACTGAAGCAAGTTTATCAGGCGGAAGAAAACCAGACACAAGTGTCAAAGTACAAAGTGAAATGAACATCACCAGGAATGGTAAATATATGAGTGAATATAAAGATGCCTCCCTATCTTGTAAATTAAAATGTTACTTTTGGAGATGAAATAATGAAGTGCACAATCATAGTATATTAGAAGTAAAACATATGACAAGGAGAAATGAAAACATAAAAACCTTCCCACAGTTGTGACATGCTACTCATTGTAGTACATGTTTATGGAAACCTCATTTAAAATCATTTCAAAACCAAGAGTACAGCTAGTAAGTAAATATGAGAGAAAATAAAAAATTCTATCATAAAAATAATTCAAAAAGAAGGTATACAAAGGAAAAAGCAGCTGAGGAATAGATGAAAAAATGCTAAGATGGTAGATTTGAACCCAAATGTACTTTTTTTTTTTTTTTGTCTTTTTGAGACAGGGTCTCTATGCAGTTCAGGTTGGCCATGAGCTCACTCTGTAGCCCAGGCTGGTCTCAAACTTGCAACAATCCTCCTGCCTCAGCCTCCCAAGTGCTGGAATTACAGGCATGAGCCACCACGCCTGGCTCCAAATGTATTTTTTCCCAACCATACTGATAATTAAATGTAAATGATTTCCAGCATTGTAATTAAAAGGCAGACGTAACTGGAATGGACTTAAAAGCATGAGTCTTGAGTATCTGCTGTCTCCAAGTAAGCCACTTCATGTAAAAAATAAGGTGAGTGGTAGGTCACTTAACTCAGCATGTATGATGGCTTGGAATTGATCTTAGCACCACCAAAACACAAAGGACATAAGGTATGTTCAAAGTGAAAAGAGAAAAAAAAGATGCTATGCAAACACTAAGGAAAAAATAGCTGAAAGTCTACAGATAGCACAGCAAGGAGATTTTTGAACAAGGATATTCTTTGTCTGAAATGGTTGAGACCAGAAACATTTCACATTATTTTTCAGGTTGTGGAATATCAGCATAGAAGTAAGATACCTTGCGAGTAAGTCCCGTGTCTAAAATCAAAAGTCACTTTCACTTTATATACACTGAAGTATTTTGGATTAGTGATGAGCAACTTATGTTACTAGGAACGAAGGAAATTTTATATCGTGAAAGAGTTAATCATCTGTTAATCTGTAACACAGCTTTGAAATATATGAAGCAAAATCTGATAGAAGTACAAAGAAAAATACAGAAATAACTGTAGTATCAGATTTAAAAAGCATCCTGGGTAGAGGGAAGGAGCTCAGTGACAGAGCACTTGTCTAGCATGACGCCCTAGGCTCAATCTTCCGCAGCAGCAGCAGCAACACCCCCAACACAGGCACAGAGTGCATGCATGTACAGAAGGCTTCAATACCATCAGCTTGATATTTACAGTAGCTTTCATACAAAAACAGAACATTAATTCAACTTAAAGAAACAGAGAAAATTCTTTTATATCATGCGCTGACCCATACAAGTATCAACACATTTAAAAGGACTAAAATCATACAAAAATGTTCTGTAACCTTCAGAGAATTTAGAAATCAACGATGTGGAATTCCCAAATAATTGATCTGGTACACTCGGGCAAGGGGTCAAGAAATCTGGCAAGTCTCTAGCCAGACTGAACAAAAGAGGACACAAAAAAGATGTAGATCATCCTAAGTCTACAGCTATTTGAAAAAAATTGAACTCATGATTAGAAATCATCCAACAAAGAGAACTCAGGCCCAGAGAGCTTCACTGGTATATCTGCTAAACATTTAAGAAAACACCAGTCTATGTTCTCTCCAGAAAACTGAAGAGGCACCTTATTCCATGAGGTTGTATTAAGCTGATACTAAGACAGTATTAGAAATATTCCCCATGAATATAGATGTAAAAACCCTCAAATAAACAACCGTGTATCGGATCCAGGACTACAGGAAGAAATTACACCACAAGGGGCTGGGGATTTAGCTCAGTGGCATAAGCGCCTGCCTTGCAAGCAGGCAGTCGTGAGTTCGATCCCTGGTACCCATAAAAACGAAAAAGACAAAAAAAAAAAAAAAAAAACAAAAAAAAAACAAAAAAACAAAAACACCACAGAGGGAGAGTAATTCTGAGGAAGCAAAGCTGGCTTAAAATTTAAAAAGAAATGTAATTCACAATACCAAAAATTACAAAAGAAAAAATACTTCATCTAAAACAGCCAGAAAAAGCATAAGAAAAATTCAAAATTCACTAAGGATTTTATTTACCTTCAAATTTGTAGGCTAGAGATAAATGAATAGAATAACATTTTCTATCCAATCATTTTCTCTAGCCACTTTCCATTTTCCAAAGTTTAATTACCAGAGCAGGGAATATGCCCTGAACTGAACTCAACACTTTGGAAACATTTAAGATTTTTTTCTGAGCAACAGCTCTTGCATGTAGTTCAAACTGGCTTCCAACTCGCAGTGAACCTTCTGCCTCAGTCTCTGAGTGCTTGGATTACAAGCCATACACCATCATACCCAGCTATGTTTATGATATTAAAAAAAAAAATCTCTCGGCAAAGTAGGACTTCAGCTGATGAAGGATGTCTTTTTTTTAAAAAGTCTTATAGCTAAGGACTTTAAAAAGACAAAGACCAGGACATACGCACTCACAACTTTTACCTGGCATTGGACTGGAGGTCCTAGAGAATAAGGTAAGAAAAAAATAAGTAGAGATTACGAATGAGTAAGAATTATCTGTAGACAACCTGACTGTAAGGAAATGTCACACAGCCTGCAAAAACTAGATCTAGTGAGTTTAGCAAGCCTGCAGACTAAAACTTTTCATTTCCTTATGTTAGAAATAAACAAATATCACTTACATTCACTTGGAAAAGTCTGAAATATGTAGGGATAAATTTAACCGAACATAGGCTAGAACTGTACATTGGCAATTATAAAACACTGCTAAAAGAAACTAAAAAACAGCTAAATAATGGAGATATATACCATGTTCACGGACTGGAAGATTCAACATTCTCCCCAAATTAATGTACGAATTTAAGAGAAACTATCAAAATTGCCACAAAACTTTCTGAGAAAAAAAAAGTTGATTCTAAAATCAATGTAGAAAGCTCAAAACAATTTTATAAAGGAACAAAAGTGGTGAACTTGCACTGTGTGATATGAACATTACCATGAAGTTAAGAGTATGGTACTAGCAAGGCATGATGGTGCACCTAGAAGACTGAGGCAGGAGGATGGACAGCTGCTAGGTTGAGGCCACCGGGGGCTACACAGCGAGTCCAAGGCTAGCCTGAACTACCCAGTAACACCCTGTCTCACAGAGCCAACCAAACCAAACCAAACCAAACCAAACCAAACCAAACCAGTATGACAGTATTATAACAGATATGTATGAGGTACCATCAAAAAAATGGTGAATGTGTAATTTTTAAAAATTACAGCAAAGTACAATAATCGCCCTTACTCCCAACACTCTTAACCTATTGTTCCTGCCAGTTTCTGAAGCAATTCTAGATGTTCTCTTTATTCAGCATATTTAGTTGTGCTGTCATAGCAGCCTTGGTGTCATGAATCAGTTCTGGTTTGATGTAGGCACAAACCAGAAGTCATACGGTACATATCAAATCAGTAAAGATATACCACAGTATGTCTTCTGGTTGGATGGCCACCAGCAACAGAATTCACTGAATTTTTTATTATACGTTTTAAAGGTTCTCACAAAGAGAACTTCCACAAGTGCTGCACAAATGGCAAGAAGGGGTGCAGTAGTGTATCCCTGTAATCCCAGCACTCAGGAGGCCAAAGGAGGATTGCCACCCAAACTACATAGCAAGACCCTGTCTCACGTCTTCCCCCCAAATGGCAAGAATGATAAGTGTGTTCCAAGCAGAGGGAGTATTCTGAGGGAGAATAATGGCAATGTCTTTTATTGTAATACGTTTTAAAAATTTAAACACACTGCCTTTTTAAATCAGTTCTTATATCAACACAACAGAATACAGGTTCAGAAAGGGTGAATTGAGGCTTCTCTGACAAAGATGCAAAGGTAAACTCAAAGCAGAAGGGACAGTATTTTCAATAAGTGATGTTAGGATAAGTAGTTATTTATATGTGAAGCATGAATATTCAATTTTACATCATAGTAATAATTTAACCTGAAACAATATTACAAAGATAAATATAAACCCTAAACCTGTAAGACCTGATGAAAAGTTACATTTTTATCACACTGAGTGATAAATTTGTAAAATTTATAAGATGAGGTGTAAGAGACACAAAACCCATGAAACTATTGATTGGGGATGGGTAAGTGACTCTGTGGGGGAGCTCTTGCCTTGCATGCATAGAGCCATGGGTTCAATCCCCAGCAACTCCACCCTGACAAACAAGCTGATCCAATAGATTTAATCGCAATTTTACATGTCAGGTCCTCAAAAGACACATGAGAAGATGACAATGTGCCAGGCACTTATGGCACTGCCTATAATCCCAGCAACTGGGAAGCTGCGGTAAGAGGATCATCAGGAGTTTGAGGTCAGCCTGGGCTACGTAGTGAGTTCAAGGTCAGCCTCTACTACGAGATGAAACCTTGTCTCAAAAATGAAAAACACAAAGAAACAAAGAAAAGGGAGACACAAAGAAAACTAGCGTAAAATTTGCACTTATAACCCAAACAACAAGCAATCTCATTTTAAAAATAGGCAAGAAATATGAGTAGGTGTTTCATCAAGAACGGGACATAAGTATATGAAAAGATACTCAGCATCATGTGCCGTCACAGAAATGAAAACTCAACTGTTGTACCTTAAGTACAACAGCTATTGTAAGAAAAAATGATACCACTAAGTGTTGGTGGGAATGAGGGCCAACTCTCACACCTACCAATTTTCCAGCCACATTGGAAAATGGTTTGGCAATTTCTTAAATATCTACTTAAATGAGAAACTGAGACAGGACTGCTGCAAGTCCAAAGCAGCCTACACTACATAGTGAGTTTGAGGCCAGCCTAAACTATACAGTAAGACCTTGTCTCAAACACACATGCATGCTGAAGACTATGACTCCACAATTACAGTCAATAACCTAAAGGAAAAGTGTTGGGAGCCGCAGCCCCGAGCCCGGTCGCCTCACTTGGCGGACGTGAGGCCTGTAGTAAAGAGTAAAGCCTGAGGTAGATTACCCCTCCCATCGAGCACGTTAGTTTCCTGCTTACCGCGTAAGCAACCCGCTCAACAATATAGTCTGCCTGGCAACTGATGATGTTAGCCAATCAGCTTGCCTTGCTTACTTTAACATGATTGGACACTGTATCCGTATATATACTGGTGCCACCCCTGGGGGGGAAGAAGAAGCCCGGAAGTAGAAGCCTAGAAGGAGCCGCGGGGAGCGGACCAAAGGAGGCTTCGGCTGGGAGCGATCCCAGGGCAGGCTGTACGGAGAAGGAAAATAAAAGAAAAGGTTGTCCACTGCCAGACTTTGTCGTGTGTCCTTCCTGCCGGCCGGGAGCGACATCGACAGAAAAGAGGTCATACATGTACACAAAACTTGTCTGTAAAGTTTACAGAAGCTGTTTATGATAGCCACAGCCCACACAGAAATAACTCAAATGTTTATTAATTAGGAAGTGGATAAGGTATGGACTGTCCATACAACAATTACTACTCCATAATAAAAAGGAATGCAGGCTGGTCCGATGGCAGTGGGTTATCAGAACTTATTAACATTAGTGTCACTAAAGTTGGTATACCACCCCCCACTGCTAAATTTGACTGGCTTAAAAAATAATAATAATAATTAAAAAATAAAAAAGGAATGCAGTACCAATGCACACATCAGAGGAATTTCAAAATCAAGTTAGGTGAAGAATACAAGACACAAGAGATTATATACTATGTAATTTCATTATGTAAGATTCCAGAAGAGACAAAATGAGTGGTGACAGAAGTCCATGATGAGAGAAGGGACTGACTCCAGAGGGTATAAGAAACTTCGACTGACAGAAACATTCTATGCCCTGCCTGTGATCGGGAGGGGGATCAGACTGCATATATTCACTAAAACTTGTTACATAAATTGGTGAATTTTATTATATGGGAACTGTCCCCATGAAAGCTAATTTCAAGGTATGTAATTTATACATATTTCTGATCCTTGATCACATATCTGCATTTTTATTTTCTTATGGTTTATACCTAAGCTTTACATTTATGATCTCTTTCCACTCTCAGATAATGAGGAAGAGTAAAGCAAACTTTGTATTCATGGCCACTGAAAACACCACTTAAGGAATGATACTTCCTGTTAACTGGGTTTTGGTCCTTTCATGAGAAACTGTATTTGTTTAAATTTAAAAAAACCTATATGTTTTTACCTATGTATTTTAAAAAATAAATTCTGTGGGTGGGGGTAGGGTTTTGCTCTACACATTCCAGGTTGGGTTTGGACTTACAATACAGCTCAGACTGGTCCTGAGTTTGCGGGGATCCTCCTGTATATGGAGATTATATACATCTGGCTTCGTATTCTTTTTTATTAATTTTTAAAATTTTTTTATTGGTACTGGGGATCAAACTCACAACTGCCTGCTTACAAGGCAGGTGCTTATGCCGCTGAGTTAAATTCCCAGCCCATATTCTTAAATAAAAAGTTTTGTCATCTTTCAATAGAAACAAAACTGCTAAGTAGGCCACCTCCTTTTTGCAAATAAATACTATACATGTGTATAGATCTTATATATGTATCAAGCAGACACAGAAACTTCGTGATTTTTCTCCATGTCAAGTATCCACAAACCACTTTTTGCTATTCAGGAAAAAGTGAAATCTCTTACCAGAGTCCCCAAATTTTTGTTTTTGAGACTGGGTCTCACCATGTAGCCCAGGCCAGCCTTGAACTCTTGGTCCTCCTGACACGTAAGGTTTTTCTGTTTGTTTGTTTTAAAGAGACATGGTCTTGCTATGTTGCTTGGGCTGGCCCCAAACTCCCACACCAAGTATTCTTCCCCTGTCACTTTCCTAAGTAGCAGCTCTACAAGCACAAGCCATTGCACTCAAGTACCCAGGGATTAATTTATAACATACTGCACTTACTTCTTTTTTCCTTTTCCTACACTTAGGTTCCTTAATAAAGGGTTTGTGGGGTACATTAGAGATTAGACATTTACTTACTTCAACCATTCCTTGATGGGGTCCAGAGAGGCAACAGGAATGGCATTGATCATTGTCACTTTCTTGCTGTAGTCCTTGTAGACAATCACCATATCAAAGTTCTTCAGATGAAACTGGACTCTCTCAAAATGGATCAGCTCCACTTCGTCCAGTGTTACCACAAAAGGTGGCTGTCAGATAGAAGGAGATCGTCACCCTTACCAGGGAACTACTTCCTCTCAAATACTTTCAGGATTCAAATCAACTGACTAAGCCATTTTTTGGTGTTTTTGAAAAACTGAAGCAGTTTATACTACTAAGAATCCCAATAAAGCTATCTGTGAGATAAAAATCCTCCTTCAAGGAGATTAAAGGAAAGTATGTGAATAAATTATTTTTGAAAAAAAAAAACTAGATTTCTAAGTATTTTGTTTTGTTTTTTTGAGACAGGGTTTCATAATGTAGCTCAGACTGGCCTGTGACTCATGGTGAGTCCCTGCATCGATCTCCTGAATGCTGGGATCACAGCAGTGCACCACCATGCCTGGCTTTTCTATTAGTTTGAAGTCTAACTTAAGTATCAAAAGTGACACTCAGAATAATTAGGAGCAAAACAACTTTTCTGCTGTTTTTTCCTAACAATTTTCTTACTCAAAGGAGGCAAGAGAGTTGTAGGGTGTAGCTCAGTGTCATAGCAAGTGCTTATTCAGACTCCGATCCCTACCACCACAAAAATAAAATAAATAAAGAAAACAAATAAAAGGAACCAAGAAATACTCACCCACTCTGTGGCATTGACCAGTGCACTACTCGTGGGCTGAAGGAGACAGGTACTCCTGTAGGGAGCGCCATTAAACCTAAAAGAATGAGGAGAGGGGCTCATCACAGGTGAAACTGCTCTGCTCTCCTCAGGCCAAACACAGTTCCAGACTCACTGAAGACTCACACCCAGAGGAAACCTCTCGGTCCCAACCACTCACACAAACCCTCAAATTTTCAAGGAGTAGAGCCTTAAAGGTTAATAGTCATAGGAAAAAAAGGATAAGTTCATCTGTTATTAAAAGAGTAATTCATTTTCCTAAAATGCAGAGGAGAATAAAACTTTAGGTGAGAAGCAGTAAGACTTTTTTACCCCAAGTCTCGAAAAGGCACTTCAAATTCCAGTTCCTCCTTTGTTAGAGCCTCTACTTTCTCGATGAAATTTTTAAAGGCAGTTTTCAGTTTGTGCCTCATTTCTCGTTCCATCTGTAGGAGGAACACTATTAATTATAACCTTCACAGTACTTATTTTTTTTTTTTTAAATTTTTTAATTTTTTTGTCTTTTTCCTTTTTATTGGTACTGGGGATCGAACTCACGACTGCCTGCTTGCAAGGCAGGTGCTTATGCCGCTGAGCTAAATCCCCAGCCCCCCACAGTACTTATTAATAGTACCTTCTCTGAAAAAGTCTGAAGGGCTTTTGTACTCTTTACTTATCAAACAATGTTTATGTAAACATGTACATATTGAAGGACATCAATCCTTAGCTGTCAAGATGAATTTATAACCGAAGTCTACAGCACCTTACCATTTTAGCAGATATTTGAGTAGCTCTGCACAGGGATGAGGAGTTTTTATGAAATACAATTCCTGAGCTTGGATCTGGACCTCTCCTACCTCACTACACTGCAGAGACCACACTGAATGCCACAGACCTGCTCAGCATAGAGGTCATCTCGGTCATGCATGTGCTGGTGTTTCCCCAAGTCTGTGGTGATCTCTCCCACTTCCGTGTAGAACTGCACGTCCGTGTGTCGCTTCTTCCCAAACATGATCGCATTCTGATGGCATAAGCAGGAAGAATGACATCAGAGGATGATAGGCCAACTAACACAGAGGCAAGATATGAGAAACAGAACTCAAAAACATAAAACTCCCTATGCTGTTTTGAAATGGCAGTGATCAAAATTTGGGGCTCCACAAACTTTGGAAAATACACCGGTAACAAGTTTTGACTAAAGTGAAACTTCAATTTCAGAAAAATGAATTTGGGAGATCTTTTATGTTTTGGCTGTCATTATATTCCACATGAAAGTGACAAACATGGTTAGCACCTTTTAGATGCCAGGCACTGAGGACTTTATAAAAACATTCAAACCTCTGGATCTTGTGTGACAATTGATATGTTTTTTTATCATTGTAAGATGCTAAAAAACATTTTTTTTTTCCTCAAGAGCTCATAATTCTATCTTGTTAAGTGGAAGGATGTACCTTAAGGTGAAAGTGCAAGACAATAATCATTTCTCCATCACAAGGCTGGAACAAAGCATGTTTAATATTATTGTATAAAATATCCACTTTGTCTCCTCGAACAGAAGTGAAACGGAAACCTGGGGAAAAGAATCAGGCAGTATCATCAGGCTAATTAAAGGCACAGTGATTTTTGACTGATCTAAACAGGATCAGAGGGAACACAAACAACTGCACAAAACATTCCTTTTCTTCTGGCCAAGCAGCAACTAGGGAGATTCATCCCCGGTGTCCCTTTCCATTCTGCACTCTCTGACCTGCAATTTGCTGTTTGTACACACCATTGACATGGGCCTCCAGGGAGCCTTGCATCCTCTTCTGGGCAATGTTGGGTCGGATGTACAGATCTTTCAGCTTGGGGTTACTCCGGTTTAGATTGATCACCAGGGAGTCTTGTTTCACAATACCCTATGTGGTATGGAAATTAATGTGGGTCCTTATGTACCTTTCACCTGCTCCCCAGAACACATGTCCTCTTCAAATAAACCTGACAGGTCCATGTTCAAGGCTCACCTCCTTTTCTTTCTCTTCTGCTTCCCGAGTCTTATAACGTTTCTGCACCTCTTTGATAATTCGGAAAGCATTCTGAAGGTTCAAGGCTGGTACCGTCTGTTCTCCAGGTGCTTTCATATTTGAGGCACGGTACGTACTGCAGAAACGGGGAAATTTTAGTAAAAGTTTATTTATCAGGTGAGGTAAACTCTACTAGCCATTACTCTATTTGGTAACTGGTTTAAAGTCTCTTATAAGAAAAATGTAGCACTAAATCATGAGAATATTTGAAAAGCTAAAGAATTTCCTTTTCTTCTCTACTAAAAGGAAATCACAGCTAAACCAGTGGGAATTCAAAGAAATTACATCCTTGTATAACATCCCCTACTTTCATCCCATTCCACATTATGAAGAAACAGAATCCAATGTGATAGATGACTTGAGGATTCTTTTGGAAAATATATGTAGTGAGTATAAAATATTTTCATGAGGATCTAAATCAGGATCTCAAAATCCATCCTCAAACATAGTACAAAGTCAACAAA